TACTTTTTGTCAGAGAATTCTAACTCTCCTGGCTTTGACTCCCCACTCATCCACCTTCTTATTGAGCAGACACTCACTGAGCATACCTAGGATGTGTCAGACTATGTCTCCTGGAGCGTGCTAGTGTCATTTCTCAGCAGGGCTTTCTCAGGAGTCCACTCTAGTCTCTCTTTCTACTGTGTCTTTCTACGTTTTAGCTTCTAAACTACGTATCTGATCCTGACATTTCTGTTTAAGTGTGGAGTTGACTGACCTCTGGTGACAGGTAAATAGAAATTCCTTAATCAGGCAAGCATGGTCATTAGTCATGTGTCTTCACCTAACTCTTCCCCAGGCACATCTCAGGTTCCGTTCTTTCCTAGGCACTCTACATTTTGGCCAAACTGGACGTTTGGGTATAACCCAAATGTCCTGTAGACTTTCAAACCCATGCCTTTGCTTATTACCTTACTAATAATTTATACACCCCTCCTCCCCCACTCCGTGGCTCCCCACCCATCTGCCCAAATCCTGTATTTGTCTCAAGGCCAAATTTGTTATTACTTTCTTTGTGAAGTTTTTCCTGACCTTATTTGGCAAAATAAATGGTTCACTCCTCTATGTTCATATTCAATTTTGTTCAAATAACTAGTGTAGCATCTATGTTTATTCTCTTTTGTTCGTTCGTCTTAACTGGCTGTGTTTTACCATCTAGATACACAGTGTCTTATAAAAGGGTATTGCATTTTACTTGTCAGGAAGACATCGGACGGTGAACTTGACTGAACCCTCTATATAGTCTTTTGTTGTTGTTGTTCAGGTGAAATAAAACTGTAAACTTAAACTTGATTTTAATGTACTGGTTCTTTAGGTTTTCCTGTGCCTTGACCTAATTGGTAGCAGTGGGACCAACTCTGATATAATTATATTGTGAGAGTCTGACCACAGAGAGGATGTCACCAGCTCCTCAGTGTCCTCCTTTTAATTAATTGTCAGCTGCTAATTAGGTCAAGAACCAGGTTCAGTTTCTGACTTGCCAATTCGTTTCTTCCTATTCCTGTGCCCTAACTAGTCACTTCGAAAACATGTTCTGAAGACTGGTCCCAAGGGTGAGAAAGTAAAAGCTATCAGTAAGGCAGTGTCCATTCATCAGCAATCCAGAGACCTTAACTCAAATCCATCAACTGCTTCGGTTCATTTTTACAGATGCCTTCACAAGTCTATTTCCTAGAGTACTAGACACAAAACTACAACGTGTCCCCAAAAATGTATGCACACTTTGGCTGCCATTTTGAATTCCAATGGGTTAAATCTAAAAAGAAAGTAATGTCCATTGAACTATCATCAGCTGTTAGTTTGTATACATTTTTTGGGGGACAGCCTGTATGTAAAAGGACACAGAAATTGAACAAATGCATTCAAATAACTACCATTCTTACTGAGATACTGAAAACAAAACAAGGCCATGGATCAAAATAAGTGACTCCTAAAGATCTCAGGAGTATTCCCACGATCAAATTGAGGAGAGTGGTAAGGAAAAGGGAAGGTAAATTAATTATCCTGGCTTCTTCGTGGCTTACTAAGTAATCCTTTTTGTAATTCTATATGTGTAAGTTTGGGTTTCATCAACATGGCTTAAAATCTTCCAGAAAGCTAAAAAACTAAACTTAAATGCATCTCTTTTCCCCTCTTCCACCAGAAGTTAGTTAAAATCATTAGAGGCTGGTGCTGCTATAGCTGAGTCTATCACACATGTTTTTCCTCAGTGATTTATCTCTTCTTTATTCTCTTTCATGCTGCTTTAAGTTAAAGTATAAAAGATATATAAAAGTATTAAAATTTTGAGAGGACTGTGGAACACTTTTATTCTCCTCTCTCGGGAGTATCTAAACCCCACCTGGAGAAGAAAAACAGAGAAGATAAAATTTATGCTTAGATTGAAATACAGAAATATTTTTAAGGGAGGAAAATCCAGGATAACAATTTCTTTTTGTTCAGCTTAAATCCTTATCAGTAAAACATCATCATTTTATGCAAGCAATGTATAATTACTGGTGCACTATTAAAAGAAACACTATAGAATGTGAGGATAGATTTAGCTTTCTCTTAAATTTTAAATTCCATTTCTCTTCTTATCTGACATCCATCAGATTTCAACACTTCCTGACACTCCATTTTTACTTATCTCTATAATCATAAGCAATTCGCAATTCAATTCAGTAACATTAAATGATAAAACCTAAACTATTTTAATAAAAATTTACTTTAGTTAGTTTTAATTCATTAAAATAAGCAGGTGATGCCCTAGCTGGTTTGGCTCAGTGGATAGAGAGGGTCGGCCTGTGGACTCAAGGGTCCCAGGTTCGATTCCGGTCAAGGGCATGAACCTTGGTTGTGGGCACATCCCCCGTAGGGGGTGTGCAGTAAGCGGCTGATCAAAGTTCCTCTCTCATCAATGTTTCTAACTCTATCCCTGTCCCTTCCTCTCTATAAAAAAATCAATAAAATTTTTTTTTAAAAAGACTCTTGGGGAAAAAAAAGGTGATGCTTTTTCTCAGTGGATTGCATGTCCCATTCTAACATGACAAGTCTATGGGAAACTCAGATTCACTGTGTTTCCCATGTGCAACAGGCAGCCCGTTGCAACACAAATTACTCGACTCTTGACTTCAGGCATCCTTTGTCCAGGGATTGAGGCCAGGATTTCTCTGGACTGCTTCAATGAGAGGTTAAGAGGGAACCTGGCAGCAAATGATTGTAAAACAACCAAGGATTTTAATTGCTATCCATTGTCCCAGGGAAGAAGAGTACATATAAAAGAGAAGTTTACATCTTTTTTTTTTTTATTTACAATATTATGGAAATTTTGGGAATTTTACAACTTTGTTCAAGTCTAAAAACACACAGATAACACATTAAGATTAGCAAAAAAGGCTACGGTTCTTATTCAATTACTCTAAAACCTATCTAATCTACATTTTATAATTTACCAAGACTCTGACTGTAAGCAGATTTCTAAGAAAATAGAAGATGTGTATCAGACCTAAACTCACAAGATTTGAATAATTTGGGACAGAGTACTTGTTTCTCTTGGTCTTTTTTTTTTCATTCCTATTTGTGTTCACTCAGTCTGTCAAAACCTAAGAAAGCCCCTGCCCAAAGTTCTCCCCCAAGAAAGCATGTCCAAGGCTAACAGACCAAACACAGCCAAGGGTGAAAGACTGGGGACCTTTGGGACTGCCTCATGTGGAAGACACACTGCAACATATTCAAGCATCATTCTCCCAGCCAATCTTTCTCACCCAGAGTGCTGTGCACGATACAGGAGAACAGAGTCATCCATTGTGGTGACTGGCTAGTACCCAGGAGGAGGAGACTTGAGCAGTTTTGTGACAACAGGATGGAGTAACACAACTGAGTAGAACATGCAGGTGGACGGAAAGACGCTCCTTGGGGATCCTGGTGGGCAGACTTCTAGTCCCAGGATAGTTAGAGGGTATCGACCGCTAAGCCAAAATTTCCAATGGGCAGTGTAGTGTAATGCAGCAAAGTGTACTGTACTCTGTGTCTGTGAGGGGTCTAGCTAAATCAGAATGGAAAACTCTGTTGATCTGATTCCTCACAGTCTATTTTCATCACACGACTAATATTTCTTTAATATGTAGTATGGCCATAGAGAGGACCTGTGACAAATCCACAGTTTTGGTCCTGTCTGATCCAGCCACAATCATATCATTAAAAGCTAAGATTAGGATTTGCACCAGGGGTAAGTCTTGAGAAAAGTCGCAGAAAAATGTAATGTGTGGCTTTCTATTTGTATAAAGACTAAATATTAATGTTAAAGCCAAGATCTGCCAAAATCTTCTCTTTCTTTTCTTGTTTCAAAGCTTATCTTATTTTCTCTTTTAACCCATGCTGCACTTCCCCATGTTTAACATTGCAAATTTCACACATGTAGAAAGTCATGCAGATAAATTATTTTACCTTTGCCTGCACCTACATCAGGTGGAAGAATACCAGCTTTAATGAAGGGAAACAGAAATAGGACACTATATAGTTAAATGTAACACACCCATGAGCATGTAAAGCTATATAAAAACACTTATTACAATGCTAAAGCATGCAAGAAGAATGAAGTGTACCATATCAGGTTCAGGGGACAAAGACATGTTTGTGTCCCCAAACTTACACAGTATTCAAACCCACATTTAAGGTACATTATTCATGCTTGCCTATTATATAAGAAGGCTTAGGATATCTCAAACTAATTTTAGAGTAACACTGTCAATTTCTTATGCTATGGAAGATAATCAAATCTACAATCCTTAAACAATTCTACAATTTAGAGACATGCAAAAAGAGGGAATCTTTTATAATATTTTTATTGAATCTAAAGGTTTTCAAAATAATTTTAAACAACATGAAAGAAAGTGTTTGTTTCTTTTCTAGATACTTTAATGGAGCTATTTTGCTTTCTCTGTGCCAGATGGTCTATCAAAGTACAAAGTCCCCTGCTTAAACACAAAATAAATGCTCTATTTAATTTCATTGCTAGAAAACCTATATCACTAGCAAATCTCTTTCTAGTGAACCAAGGCCAAAACTTGAATCATATTTATTTGAGTATATGTATGCATGTCTGTTTGTGCATATATACTAGTATTTGTATTACATATACATGTAGGTATATGTGTATGCATATATGTAAAGTTATAAAAAGGAAAAAACAGTGACTTGAACTTTAAATTCAAGTGTGGCACAATACTGTAATTTCCCACTCTCACCTCAACATATTAGTGTAAGTTTAACTTTTTCACATGGACTTGGGAAACAAATATCAAATTATTATTCCAATAAGAATTAAATAATTGATTTTATGTATCTGAGTGAGAAATTATAAGTAAGTGTTTATATTAATTGGATAAGATGAACACTCCATGGTCAGAAGAAAAGAGAAAGCATACATTGAAGTTAAGGAGCAATACTTATAGTTTTATGGATTTTATACATACCCATCTTACCTTCATCCACTGTTGTTACTGCTTCCTCTGTTATTTGACTTCCTGATCCTGCTGATGTTTGTGCATAGAAATAAAACTTATACCGAGTGCTGAAATTTAAATTTTTTAGAGTCCAACGTGTCTTGTTGGCAGGAATTTTCAAATCTACCAGTGGGCCTAATTCATGGGTGCTGTTAACTGTCAAGAAGGGGGAAAAAGAGCATTTCCATTAATTGTTACAGCAATACTATTATAAATAAATGTGTCCACCAAAAATGTCAAGTTTGGATTACACTGATTTTTTTGCCCAGCATAACTGATAACCTTTTACAGTTTCTATAATATGGCGTAAGAAGGGGAAATATAGTCTCTACTGGCTTCTAAGCTAAGAGAATTTTATAGTTGAATCAAGATAGCATTTCTCATCTCAGGGTTTTTGCAGGTGGAGTCATGTATTGTTAAATAATCCCAAACCTCATGTTCAGAGGTCTTGTGCCAAATGAATGAGGGTTACTATTTTCTAGCTACAGATAATGTTTAACGATAACACCCACCTAAACCCCATGCTTAAAGGTCTGTATTAATTTACAGAATACTTAATTTTCAATACCCTATATGGAATTTAAAAAAATATGATTTAAAGTTCCTTTTTGAATAAATCTTGAAGGTATATGTACATATTCCACAGCTACAAAGAATAACCAGTTGGTATTTTAAGATAACGTTTTTTTTTTTTTAATCCTTTTACATTATATTTTCCATTTTCCCTTCTCCCAATAACTTACTTGGCTGATATTTTAAGGTGTACTCAGTCAAAATGCCATTCGGGTGGCTTGGTGGATCCCATTCCAAAGTGAGAGAGTCTAGTGTTGGGTTAACAATCTTCAAGGAGGACGGGGCACTGGGAACTTATAATGAGAACACAGTCAACATAAAGGCTTTTCAACGGTTCAAAATGTATTAAAATGACATATTTCACCACGTTCACACAATTCACCAAGGGTTTTGTTTTTTATAACACATTCTTGTTCCCGATTCAGCTGTAAATACATTGATAGAAACCTGTGACAGGTACCCATTTATCCATTCTCTTCCTCTTTTTTTCTTACCATTTCCATTTAGATTTATTAAAACCATTCTCTCAAAATACATAGATTTTGCCTTTATATGGACTGAAACAAAACAAAAAAAATTAAAAACAATAAATTTAATAAAAATTTAAAAAGATACTATACTTATTTGTTTAATGAATGATGTTTTAATAAAAGCAAATTAGTGGCCTTGAACGGCTAACTCAGTTGGTTGGAGTGTTGTCCTGATATGCTAAGGTTGTGGGTTTGACACCTGGTCAGAGCACATACAAGAAGCCACCAATGAATGCATAAGTGGAACAACAAAGTAATAAGTCAGTCTCTCTCTCTCTCTCTCTCTCTCTCTCTCTCTCTCTCTCTCTCTCTCTCCAATAAAAAATAAAATAAAAAGGAGTATTTTCTAAGTTAATAAGCCAGTCAGAGAAAGACAAATATCACATGATCTCACTCGTGGAATCTAATGAACAAAATAAACTGACAAACAAAGTAGATCCAGAAACATAGAAGTATAGAACAGATGGACAGATTTCGGAGGAAAGAGAGGTGGAGGTGACAGGAAGAGCTTAACCAAAGAACATACAGGTATATATATATATGCATAGCCCATGGACACAGATAATAGAACGGGAAAGGCCTGGGGTGGAGTGAAGGCTGGGTAGAAGGGGGCAAAGAAGGGAAAATGTGGGACATCAGTAACATTGGCAACAATAAAAAAAAAAAAAGAACTTACTTCAGCATTTGTACAATAAAAGTCTACTGGAACTAAAAAAAAAAAAAAAAGAAAAAAAAAAGAAATGAAATGAAAATAAAAGCAAGCTAGTGGCTGAGTGAAACCATTCTGACCTGGCCTCTGAGTGGAAGCAGCTGCATGCTGAGCTATTAAGGGTTGTTTTCCCCAACAAACCAGGTGTCTCCAAACAACCTGCCTGCGAGGCTCTTGGCATGAGCCAGCCTGCCCAGGCGCGGAGCAGTTCTCCCCTGGAAAGCTGACAGACGCCCAGCATCTCGTGGTGACGGACAAAAGCCCCAAATGCTGGCAAGTCCTGGCTCTGGGGCAGGCCTGCAGGTGTCAGGTTCTCTGTGGCAGAGGTTGGCGAAGGACCAGAGGAGACATGCCCAGGCTTCTTTTACAGCTCCTTCAAGAGGATGATGGATGGTGGCAGCCTTCCCCAATGATCATTACCTCCTCTACCCGACGTACCACATTCCCTAGACCCACCGATGGCACCACTGTTCTGCCTGTCACTCTAGCCAGGAACCAGGGAGTCATCCTGGATTACCCCCCGTGTCTCATTCCCACCACCTCCTGGGACACTACATCCTGTGAATTCCACCTCGTTCCCTCCTCTGCTCTCTGCCACCACCCCATTTCAGGGCCTCCGTGGCCTTTGCCTGTGTCTACAACACTCCTGGCTCGTAGTTCTAAGCTTCCCCCAAACCAATAAGTGGTTCCTAACTGGAAGATCACGGACCCCTTTGGGAATCCGATGACAGCCATAAATACTCTCTAGAAAAACATATATCTTTTCCCATGATTCTGGTGCTTATTGATTCCCTATGAGAGACTACAGTCCCCAGGTGAAGGGCCTCCGGCTTAGTATCACAGCATTAAGACCATCGATGATATGGGTCCTCCCTAACTGACCTTGCCCTCCTTTCTCACCATTCCCGGCCACACAACTTGCAGTTCCCCGAAGGAGCCATGCTGTTTCACACCTTTGTGTCTTTGAGCACGCTACTTCCTCTCTTCTTTATCCTTTCATCCCCTGGTCCTCTCTTGTATGACACCTTCCCCTGAACCATCCAGGACCAGTGAGTCTCTCTAGGGAAAGCCTTAAGCGGAAGGAGCCCTTAGCCTCTAAGCAGCGGTGAGACGGAGAACCAGCAGTCATGATGAGATGGGAGCTGGGATACAGGATGACTTCAAAGGCTGTTGGGAAGCCGCTGACATCATGAGTCCCAACAGGAGCCAGGACAGAATTTGGGAACTGCTTTTATGTAAAAGGACTAATGAACTCATAGACATTACCCGGCTCATTTTCAATACTGGCTTGAGGCAAAATTCAAATGAGGTAAGGCTGATTTTCAGTACCTTTTTCCAGTCCCTATCTTTCTCACTTATGGCCTCTCTCCCTCATCCATGAGGCTCCCATGTCCAAACCCCTCCTTCCTCCACTCCCACATAACGCTCATGTGGGCGTCTCTTCCTCTTCCTATTGCAGTGGGCTATACTTGCAATGACTTTTTCCTTCTCTTCCCAACCCGTTTTATCAAGACTTCCAATCTCTAACTCAGCTCATGTGCAGCATGAACTATGCAGGTGCCCTGAGAAAGGAATGTACGGTGACCTGTGAGTTACTTTCTTTTCTAGATGGTTTTCCTAGGGTATCATCACATTTAGTTCCCACACTTCAGATTAGGTAACGGAGACTTATAGAAGCTATAGAACTTGCTTCCTAATGACACAAATAAACATCAAATTTAGCAAGGTTTCTGACGGTGTGACTAAGGGTGGACAAAAACTTAAGTCCAGGGAGAGGAGATTTTAGGGCAGCATTCTGTGATATGACACCTTCATCCCCTCAGTACACACAAGGGCCTCCAGCCAGTATTGAAAAGGAGCCGGCTTGTGCATGCTGTGTTCATCTATGGCAGTGTTTCCCAAACTTCTCTCATGATGAGAATCACCAGGTGGAGTTGTTAAAATACAGATTCCTGAATCCCAACTAAGAAGTGCTAAACTAGAATTTTTGGGAACATATAGGTAAAATTGTGTTCTAAGACAGAGCACTAAGTTAAGTATACAATTTTACCTACGTATATGTTCCCCAAAATTCTAGTTTAGCACTTCTTAGTTGGGATTCAGGAATCTGTATTTTAACAACTCCACCTGGTGATTCTCATCATGAGAGAAGTTTGGGAAACACTGATCTATGGGGTATCACATTCGGCTTCCAGAATATACTTTCTTTGGGGGCCCTTCTGTCACACAAAGCCCCTCAGCATGTGCCACACCTTGCTAGGGTCTCAGAGACACGCCCACCTCGTACCTCCTTCCGGCGTGTGAAAGACTCTGTCAGGGCTGGCCGGGCCCTCCCCTTTCCCATTGACCACGCGCACGTTCAGCGTGTAGTGGCTGAAGGGCTCCAGCCCCGGCAGCATGCCGTGGGTCTTGCTGCCCTGGAAAGTGAGGATCTTTTTCTCAATGTGGCGTCTGTTTCTCTTTGATGAATTCTGGTCCGTCCAGTAGTAAATCTGAAGCAGCAAGAACAAAAGTCAGGGATGTATAAGGAGGCAAGTAAGATTACAGTTTTATGGGCTTTTCCCCTTGGTGCCTTTGGAAGACTACTGGAAAAGCTGAAAAACACTGATTCTGAGGCAAGAGAGTCAGAAGCCCACAGCTATTGAGGAAAGTCAAATTAAGACTATCTGATGCTGGGCTATCCTGTTTTGTTGGAGGAATACAAGTGAAAGAAATGAAATAGCACACCAATTCAGTTTTCTCTAAAAGCCAGTAGAAGGATTTCAGTGTCTGACACGTAAAATATTCTAAAAGTAAAAATTACTGGCCAATGTTTAGGTACTTTTTCCAGAGTTAATAAAACTTCATGGACAATAGGTCATTTAGTTTAGTCCTAACATCCACAGAGAAGCGTTTATTATATTATTCCTATAGTACAGATGAGCCTTTGGGTTACCAAGTGACTTGTACAGGGCACAGGGCAATCAGGTGTGACTCCAAGACTGGGGCTCTGACACCTATTTTTTGTATTATATTGTGATTGATTAACCAAGTATTGATGAACTTTGGTCAAAAATACAGAACTGTTGTTTATCAAATCATTTTAAATTCTTCTTAGCAGTTTAAAGACATTTTTTTAAAAGAGAAGTCAACATATGCAGAATTGAACAATGGTAGAGAAAAAAAATAAAATTGAACAGGATGCAGTGCAAAAAGTGACCTCTAGGGGTCAGGGTTGATAAATCAAAGGTGGGATTCTTTTTTTATGGTGGAATGTAAAAACAGTTGACTATCAATTAAAAAAACCCTCTATAAACCAGTCTTTCTGTGCTTCCCAAGAATGAAGATGGTTGATATTCATAAGAATTACCTAGCTGGTACTTTATGATCTTAAAGTATAATATGAATTATTTTTTTTAATGTCTACATTATTTTCAGGATAGTTTGTATATTCAGCACTTGTGGTTGGTATAGTTTTTAAGCTGGGTGCATTTTGTTATATCTAATTTTTCAAACATCAGTTTTCCACATTTTGTGCAAATGATAATTGCTTAGCTGGCAAAATCTTAAGTTATCTGTGGAAAAAATGGAGAAAACATTTCCCCCCTTACTTTTGGATGCAGAGGAATTTTGATTCAGTTTTAGCTGGGGTTGTTTAGATGTGGCCTGCCTGAGGCGATAAACCAGATGAACTCTCAAGATCAACTTCTCCAACCAAGAAAAGTGCATCTGGCCTTCAGTGATGGGCTGGTCCGAAGGATAGAACAGGAAAGGTCTCTCTTCACTTACCCGATAGCCTTGCAGGTGTCCGCGGACACTTTTCAGAGGCACTGGGTCCCAGTGCACCTCAGCTAAGGTACTGTTCACCACGGTCACATGCACATTCCCAGGAGCCACCATGGGGACTAGGGAAAGAGAGGGAGGGAGGATAGAAGTACCAATGTTATTTTGAATTTCTTGCAAAAAATGTCACTGTCTAATAATTTTGGCTTTATTAAAGCAATGCTCCAGACCTATCCTATAAGTGATCAAGGACTGAGATGAGACTTTGAAAGAAGTCTTGCCCTGGCTGGCATGGCTAAATGGTTAGTATCATCTGCCTGTGAATCCTAGAGTTGTGGTTCAATTCCCAGTTGAGGCGTGTGCTGGAGACAACCAATTGACATGACTCTCTCACATCTCCTATCTCCCTCTTTCCCCTCCCCCTTTTTCTACTCTCTCTAAAATCAATGAAAAAAAAAATATCCTCCAGTGAGGATTAACCCCCTCCCCCCAAAAGAATAACAACTTTTAAAAAGTAATAACTTTTAACATTCTGAATCCATATCCTACATAGTAGGCTGTTTAAATCCAGAAATGTTGAACAAAATCGCTGCTGCCTCTCTTCCTCCCATTCTAAACACGTCTGGAAATAGACTTGGCTTGCACTTTGGTAAGTCTGTTTTGCTGAGAAAAAGTATAAACAAAACAGTGTCGGCCACTTACGGTCTTCTCCAGAATGTCCCATCACTACCGCTGGCTCTGGAGCAAACCCCACATCATTCAGAGCCTGGACTTTGATCAGGTATGGAACAAAGGTTGGTGTGCCAGAGACAATATATTTGGATACATTTGCCACAATCACAGAAGTCCATTCATCATCACCATCTTTCTGGCGCCAGCTCACTTTGTACTGAAGGCCTGGCCCATTAGATTCAAAACCATTCAAGGGCTACAAGAAAAGCCAAATAATCAGAGCTTATAAAACAAGTCGACTGCACAACCTTTTATAGAAATAACAAAACCAATTTCCAAACTTAAAGTGAGTGCTAAAACACTAAAATATAAGCTGATGAGATATTCTCCAGGGCCCTTTTATCTTTTTTCATTTTTTTATGACATTCAAAGCTTGTCTAGGGCCCACACTTCAAAGATCGTTCATTTCTATCTTATAATATATATCACATAAGCCTCTCAAACTCTGGCTCCACTGACCAGAGTGGGTGACTTAAAACATTCAGTTATATCTTCTATATCTTCCTGGAAATAGACTTGGCTTGCACTTTGGTAAGTCTGTTTTGCTGAGAAAAAGTATAAACAAAATTTTTATATCTTCTATATCTTCCTGTTTGTGTGACAGTACATCATTGTCTATGTCACTTGGAGGCTGAAACTTGTAAACTGCATCTATTCTGTTTCTACATGTACATATACTCTCTCTCTTTCTCTCTCTCTCTCTCTCTCTCTATATATATATATATATACATATATACATATATACATATATACATATATACATATATACATATATACATATATACATATATACATATATACATATATATGTATATATATACACAACATGTTTTTTGCATATAAGCATGCATGAACAGAGCTATCTAAAAAGTTTTTAAATTATATGTTAATTTTCCAAGTTCAGAAAATACAGATAAGCAAAAAAAGGAAGGAAAAAAAAAAAGAAAGAAGAGAAGTTGGGAAAAACTTGGGAAAAACTTGGTCTTCTAGAAGGTTCTATATAATGATGTTACTACTAACTCACATTTCTTGAGCACATGTATGTGCTAGGCACTGCTGCAGGCATTAAATGAAGTTGGTTCTATTATTCTTCCAATCATACAAATACATAATGGAGATGTTAAACAACTGGCTTAAAGTCACATAGCAAGTGGCAATGCTGGAATTTGCATGCATTCATCAAGATTTTAACTACTACACATGCTGTCTTTTAAGAAAAGATATATAACATATTTTCCTCCAAATGGATAAAATGGGATTTTAAGAGATATTACTTTAAAATTAGTTGGGTTTTTTTTTTTTTTCACTCTAAGTGTACAGAGGAAAGTTGAAGGCTTTATATATAGCTCACCTGCCAGGTAATCACCAAATTATCGGGCTCTGATCCCAGTCCTTCCACCATCATGGGATTTTTATCTGGTTCTAGAAATTAAGCAGCCACACACATGTAAGCTTTGGTCTTTTTCAAACAGTGGCAAACTTTTATTTTATTTTATTTCATACCACAGAAATCCCGCTTTACCTGCAGCTTTGGTCAAATACTGCTCAGACGCCTCACTGGGCAAGCTCCTGCCCAGGCTGTTCTCTGCCATCACTCGAAAGGAGTAGTTCACATAGGGAGACAGCTTCAGCTGGGCTCTGGTCTGCGTCCCCGGAACTTCCGCTTGGTGGTGCCATAGCCCCGCCTCGTGCATTGCATCTTCATATTCAATGATGAATTCTGGCCACAGCAGACACACATACAACAAATGCAAGACAGTGAATTCTGTCACTCAAGGGTAGGCTGCTAAAATAATAAATAACAATTTTAACGCGAGTAGTCAAATACGAATTATTTCACTTTCAAGAAATATTTCATTAAGGTATTTTGATTTCAGAGTTCTAAAATCCTCTTCAATACCTAAGAATACCCAATACATTTCTCTAGCGTGCTGAATTTAGTTACTGAAAATTCCGAAGGGATCCGTAGATGGCCCTAGGAAAGTTTAAATATATGAAAAGATGGTCAATATTTTTAATTATAGAAGTTAAGTTAAATACAGTGAGAAACCATTTCTCACTAAACAGACTGGCAACAATCAAAAGTTGAACCTACTGAGTCAACGCTATGACTCAGGGAAAAAGTATTCTCATACTCTGTGGGAAGTGTAAACTGATACAACTTCTATAGAGAGCAATTTATAACACCTAAAATATTTAACTCAGATACCCTTTGCTTGAAAAATTGTGCTTCTAGCAATTTATTTAGAATAAATGCACACATGCATGTGGTCAAATACACATGCTAAAGAACCCACATTGCAAGTTTGCATTTGAAAGAACCTAATTGCAAACAACCTAAATATTCATCAGTAGGACACTCATTAAATAAATTATGGTGCATCCTCACACAGAATACTCTGCTGCTATAAAAAATGAATGGAGCTGCCCCATATGTACTAAAATGGAATAATTTCTAAAGTATATTGTTAAGCCAAACCAAGTGGGGTATAGAACACTGTGTACTAAATATACTATACTTGTGTAAAAGTAAAAAGATTTACTCTGACACATACACATTCAAATATGCTTGAATGTAGATGTATTACTTCTCAGAAAGTACATACATACCACTGGTGTCACTGGAGGAACTGGGAACCAGGGGTGGGAGGAAGACTCACTTTTCAGTGCACACCTTCTTGCATCTACCAAAATTGTGTGGTGTGAACATGTTTTAACCCTTATAAAAATAGGCACTCATCAATTGCCTGATATTTGCCACGTGCAATAATATGAATTGTAGATACAACGATGAATTAGAAACATCATGTGTTGCAGTGCTCCATCCTTTCAATCCACACTAATTTGGAGGTGATCTCCAGTCTCATAAACTGATCACTTTCACATGTATGTCTGCAGCCTGTGAAATGCAGACTTGAGTAGTTAATTGCCTGCCCAACAGCTACACTTGTTTGTCTATGACAGCATCTCAGATTGGATATGGCCAAGACTGATCTCCACTCCCAGTGTTGGGCCAGGAGACCCGAGGCTGCGTTTCCCTGTCTGGTGGGGCTTGACAAGCGGGGGAGGACTGGCCAGGTGTGGATCTAGCCCAATGAGGGAGGGCTTCCAGGTCTGAATCTCATGTGATTTTGAGGAGCATGTAGGTGGGGGGACTTGACTCTGGGTCCCGTAGTGCATCCCAGACTCTGACAGGAGGAAGGTTTTTATATACATTTTACTAATTTTCTCTCATCTCTGAAACTTCCATTATAGAAAGGGCAAATAGCAATATTAAATTATTTCCTCTAATTAATCCCCTTTTAATGTGCATGAATTTCATGCACCGGGCCACTAGTTATTTATAATAAACAATATTATTCATTTTATCTTATTTGTGTCCTAAAACTAAAATAAAGGGCCATATGGGCAGATAATTTTCATTGTTTTATTTTAGAACAATGCTTGATAAATAATAGGCACTCAATAAATATCTGTTGAATGAAAGGTGAGTAGAAATGCCTTGAAATCTAATACTATCATTATATTCTAGGTAAAAAGAGTGTCTAAGCAACCTAAGCAGCTAATGCATTGAGTTAAGTGGAAGCCTCAGTTCATTAGTCTTCCTGCAGTATATTCCTGAAGATAATAATATATTATAGGCATGTGTCTTGCATGTGTCTACACTCAAATTTTATGGTTTTAAAATTTATAAACTTACCTATAAGCTAATTTTATTAAGCTCTTCAAGTACCTTCCTGGTATGGTCCCTCACCTGCTTTTATTCCCTAGACTTACATTATCAGGATGAGGCATTGACAGAGCTGATGGTGCCACCACTTTGCAGTAAAGATTAGGAAAAAGATACCTGGGTCTGGAAGTTAACAGACCTGATGTGAGGGTTTGAAAAGCCACTATACTCTCTAAGTCTCAATTTCCAAATATATAGGCTAGGCATTATAGCACCTGGACCTCTTACCTTTTACTCCACATTAATGGGCAAAATGAGTAACTTACAATGCATCTTCTTACAGTGGTAGAAACTTAAACACAAAATGATAGCTTTTGCTTAGCTAACATCTTCAGCAATCGATTAGTGGCCCGTATCAGAACTAAACCAGAAATAACTCTAGCTCTGAAGAGAAGACATAAATAAATGTTTTTGTTCTATTAGTAAAGAAGCACAGAATGCCATCAGATATCTCTGTAAGGAATTTCAATTGCAAATGATAAAGTGATTAAAAAATGGTCATTATCTGCATCCGTGATGAAGCGAATGGCACCACCTACTTGTAATAGGACTGTTATTGTCATCGCCTGGGGTCCATGACAGCTGAACACTTTTGTCGAGTTGATCTGTCAATTCTAAGTCAAAGGGAGGATTTGGGACATCTGTAGACCAAACATACATCGTAATTAACCATCCATCCTTATGAGGTTGTCCTTTACTTGTGATACTGTTCATAGAGGGGATGTGTTAAAGGAACAGCATACTGAATGGTCAAGGAGCATGCAATTGAAATGAAATGGAAACAGCTGAGGTTGCTGGGAACACACAGCACACCCAGGACAACCCATCAACGAGTTCCCCTTGCTTCTTTTTCAAATGAAACTAAATTACTTGGAACCAAAACCAATGAAGTGGGTGTGGGTGGTTCACCAGCACTCTCAGTGTGTTACCTTCTCATGAACATGAATGAGCAAAGACAGAAAAAAATGATATAGAAACGTAATTTCTAATAAATGAGAAACGGAATAGTAAATGCTAAAAAACAAATACAGGCAGGGACATGTACAGTTCAAAGAAGACTCAAATGTTCTCCCTGAAACATGCTAAGCTAAATCATGGATCTGGGGAGCTCCTGAAGAATATTTATGTTTTTAAGGGCGTTTTATAATTGATGCTCAATAGGTAGCTCTCAGCATGCACACCTTATGCAGATATTCTGCACAACAGTCACATGGGAAGGTGTGTTTATGCTACTAATAGGCTTATATAAAAGCCTGATTTTTGTGGAATGATATTTAAAATAGCTTTTTAAATTCTGTAATTTAAAAATGTGGATGACAGCTTTTGAGCAAACACTATGCTTTTTTACAGGGAAATTATATCAAAGAGGAACATTTATAAAATGAAACGACTTTAAAATGACAAGTGAAATGTTTAGAAGAGAGTGGCAATACATTCAGTGAAACATTCCAGAGTTATAATGAAGAAATGAGGCATAGCACGAATGGAGCAACACAACAGAACAGGTGACAGCCCTTTCCTTAAAGAAACACAAAGATGTGATAGGGAAAATTAATTTTTCTGCGAAAGTGAAATTGTTTGACAGAAAATAGAGAAAGAAGACTCATTAGTTTACCGTAAATGGGAGCTGGAGTTGGAGTAGGAGCTAGAAAGGACATTAATATAAAGGATTTTAATCATAATTAGTAATGGAAAAGATATACGCGAGCACAAGGAGACAAAGATTGAACATGATTAAGATTATAAAATGAAGCCTTATGCTTCACTGTGAGCCATGGCGTTGATAAACATGCATTACCAATTTAGGGGGGGAAAACCCTTCCATTTTAAATAAAAGTAGATTACGTTCCCCAATTTTCTTATGCAAAATCACTCATATGCATAACCACCATTTCATTCCATTGCTGCTACAGAGCATAGTTACACTGAAATTATGGCCTCTTGGATATCTTTCAAAGAGGAAAAATGAGTATTTAACTCACCAATAAAACGGTAAAGCGCTAACAAGTAAACAGTTACTGCAGACAATCTTCCCTTTCTACCGGAAACAGTTGTGCTGTGAGTATTCAGTACTTACCGACAACGCTAAGCACAGCACTGGCAGAAACGTTGTCCAGAGTTGTGTTGGCCACACACGTGTAGGTCCCACCATCATCGTCACTTACATCAGCTACCACCAAATGGTCCTTGTCAATAGTGAACCTGTGAATAAAACACATTCTGAGCAACTGAAATGGACATCAAACCATATTTGATGATTGTTTTACTGGCATGAAATTGTGAATTTGGTCAAAGAGAAGGATGATGAAAATTTGCATCACATTTAAGTTAAAATCTTACACAATATGTATCACTTTGATAATGATTATAGTTGGAAAACAATTAGAATGGGCTGTAACCTTGGGTTATGAGGACTCTCGAGGCATATGGTCTGATGGCCCTCAACCACGTCCCTGGAGTTTTAGGAGCTCCTCAGAGACCAGTGACATCTAGAGGTGAGATGGGGCAGCTTCAGTTACCTTACTAGAGGGTTTTCTATGGCTTTTGCTGCTAAGAAACCTTTCAACATTACTCAACCAGCTCAATTTCTAGCAAAGTGTATATTTTATTTATTATTAACTTTTATCCTCACCTAAGGATATGTTTCTATTGATTTTAGAGAGGAGGAGGTGGAAGAGGAGGAGGTGGTGAAGGAGGAGAAGGAGGAGAGATGTCGGTTGCCCCTCATACATGCCTGTCTGTGGATAGAACCCTCAACCTACGTATATGACCTGACTGGGAATGAACCTGCAAACTTTTGGTGTATGGAACGAAGCTTCAACCAACTGAGCCACCCAGCCAGGGCACAAAGTGTATATTTTAAAATAATCTAGAATTTACTGCAGAAATTTTATGTCATTTTTACTACATGCATAAACTCTCGAGGAGAGAGTAAATGCAAAAAATAGGACCAGCTTTATCACTAGAAACAGGAAGATTTAGATCAGCAAACACCACGAAGAGTTTTTCTAGAGGTTCTTGTGGGCATGAAAAATTACTCAGTAGGTAAAAAAAATCCATATAAATAGGTTTCATGCAGATTAAAAAAAATTCTCACCCAAGGATATGTTTATTGATTTGAGAGGGAGAGGAAAGGAGAGAGAGAGAAATATCAATGTGAGAGATACCTCCCACATTCCCAGACTGGGGATCAAACCACAACCTTGGCAAGTGCCTTGACCTGGAATTGAACCTGCCACCTTTCAGTGTAAGGGATGGCACTCCAATCAACTGGGCCACAATGGGCAGGGCAGGATTCATGCAAGATTGTATAAATCAATTGTCTTTGCAGGGAATTTCCAAGTTAAAGCTTTAGCCAACTTAAACTGAAGGCCATTATTTCATGTATCACTCAGATTCCACAAATAAAACTGACCTGTTGGAGCACAGAACTAGATGGAAACTGGCCATATAGAGGAGAAGCCACATAGTTCTTCTAGGTGCTATTGACAACAACAGGGCACCTTGTAAGCACACCATAGAAACTATTTCCACCAGCACCCAGCATTCCTTCCAAGTGGGGGGGGGGAGGGGAAGCTTATAGCTGCACTCCAATAGCTAAAATTCACACCTTCAGCTCCACACTTAGTCAAATTGAGAGCCTTACTTGGAAAATAGATACCACTCCCCCCCATTCTAATCTAAAGGGCTGCAATATGCTTAGGCCCTTTTAAATGTCCCCCCCCCCACCACCCACTCTCTCTCTCCTGGCTTTGAGTAAACTCACAAGAAAACTCCCTATCCAAATAAACACTAGTGTCCTTTAAAACAGTAGTTGCCAACCTTTTGGATCTCACAGACCACCAGTGGTCCTCAGACCACCAGTTGGTGACCGTTGCTTTAAAATACAAGGGTTTGGCTCAGAGGTTAGATTGTTGGCCCTCAGACTGAAAGGTCCTGGGTTCCATTCCAGTCAAGGGCACATACTTGGGTCATAGGCTCGATCCTCCGCCCCAGAAAAGGGCACATACGGGAGGCAACCAATCAATGTGTCTCTCTCACCTCACATGGATGTTTCTCTCTGTCTCCCTTCCCCTTTCCACTCTCCCTAAAAATCAATGGAAAAAATATCATCAGGTGAGGATTAACAATAACAACAACAACAACAAAAATACAAGGTTTCAGGCACACTCTAGTGATTCAAGAGATCATACTTCTGTGTATTTGTAGGATGCAAATGAGAACATCTGTTGAGATTTCACTGTACAAGGCAGAAAACAATGGACATTGTCCAAAGACTGGAAGGTTTTTCTCCTCCTGAATTTCACAGGAGACCAACATGCAATGACAGACAAACATTCTCAGGGTCTTATTTCCATAACTTGACTGGGTACAGACATTTTATAGCAGGGAGAACATGTGTGTCTACTCTGGACAAAGCAGACTTCAGAAACTTTTAAAACATCGTGGTTAAGTCATTACACAATAAACCTTTAGTCAACAGCAGCTTGAAGAGAGAAGCAAGAGAAAGGAAAGTGATCATCTTCAAATACCTTCCGTCACTGGGCAGCTCACCGTGGTCCTTCAGCCAGGTGACAGTAGGGATCAAGGTATGATCGTGTTTCACTTTGCATTCGAAGGACACTGTGCTCCCTCTTTGCACAACCGCATACTCAGGCTGTTTAATGATCCTCGTTGGATCTGAAATGTAAAGTTATTGTTGTCTAATGCCCAAGCTGGAGAATTTGCTCAAAGTCATGTAATTCTTGGGGGAAAAATTTGCTACCTCTGCCTTACCTTTGATTTCTAAGTGAACTTCATTCTTTGCCATTCCTAACTTATTCTTTGCAACACATGTATACGTTCCTGTGCTGTCCTTTTGGGCCACGGGAATTTCCAAAGTTCCATTTTCATGAAAAAAATAAGGGTCTTCACGAAGAGCACTACCTTTAGTTCCTTTGAACCTTCATGGAAACAATCACAACGAGAAGTAAAACACATCATAATGTGAAGTCACACATAAAAATGCCACGTTCAAAGTCAACACATCATGATACGTATTATGGATTCAAGTTCAGAGATGTATGAAATCTGCACAGCACATTGCATTCTTGCATGTCAGCAGGATCAACGTAAAGATAGGATGTAAAACTGGAGAATTCAATGATCAGTGGTGCTTGAAGAATTAGGGTGATAATACAAAATACTTAAATTGTAATTTTCAAAATGATAGAATTATAATTTTTTAATCACACTATTATACACTCTATCTCTAAATAAGTGATAAAATAGGCCCAATGAACACTGCTCTTTTTGACATTTCCCCCCTATTGTGAAGTACTGTAACTTCATTCTAAAGAGATTTTGATTTCAAAAGTATAAAGTTTGTACTTTTGAAAGTATGACTAGAAAAATATTCGGTGATAAAAAAAGATAAAGCAGCTTCCTGGCTCGTGTCAGACAGGGGAGGTAAGGGTGGATGAAAAGGCTAAATCAACTAGGACTGAGTGTTAACCTGCCCCCTTCACTAGGAAGTCATCTGCACAAGCATGCATTCCTCTGTGGTTGAAGTGCGGACATGGTGAGATCATCCTTTAATCCTACACCTGGCTTTCATTTCACATCAGCAGGAGGCGCTCATAGATGAGCAATAAATGAATGTTCCAGTTTTCTTTCACTCATTTTTTTCTGAGCTGTTGCTTATGCTAGCCCTGTTTCTTCCAGCTCGTGCTACAGTAAGCAAGCTAGGAGGTGAGCAGACTTGTATCAGGAGTGTTATAGGGAAGAGGAAGGTCTAGAGCAGGGAGTGAAGGGACACAGGAGAGCTTGGCTGGATCCAAGTCAGGAAATTCAGGTGCGGGAGGTAATAAAGGTAAACACTAATAATAACAAATTCTGATTTTGAGCTTATAGAATTCTCTTCCCCACCCCAAATGATATTTGATTGTCAAGGAATGTCCCCCAACCAAGGCTTCTAGCCACCATGCATGAAGTCCCAGGTAATGTCCATGGCGCTGTAAAATGCAACAATCTTAAATTTTATATAAAAAAAACATTTACATATATCTCTGTGGTTGACAATGTGTGCTGTTAAATAGATTATACACGTGAAAGCATTTAGCACAGAGCAAGTAGTTAATAAACATGTGTGCATATTTTAATAATAATATATGGATTCTGTACAGCTTTTCTCTAAAACCCAACATATTGAGAAAGTGGAAACATTGAAAAGACATAGGGCCAATACTTACCACTCAACGGAAGGCAGAGGAGACCCAAAGAAGGCACAATCTAGTAGAGCAGGCCTGTTTGCGATGACCTGATAGAGTGTGTTTGCAGATGTAAGGATGCGTGGGGGCTCAGCTAGAAACGTTTAGAAAAGGTAAAGTAAATATAAAATAAACATTTAGACCCACCATCTATTTCATTGCATTTTGGTTTAAGGCCATTAGAGTTTATGGAAAAGCACAACCAATATACCTCTGTCCATATGTTCTCTACCAGCCATGACACTACCAGCCACTCAAGGAGGAAAAGTAAGTCTTCTCCCTCTGCCTCATCAGGCATAGGATTTTAATAATTGATGTACTTATCTATTTATTTATCTTCTACTACACTGTGAGTCCCTTGAAGGTAGGGAATGTGCTAGTTTTCCCTAGGAACTAGCGCAGTGTCTGTCACGGAAATCATGACTAAGTACATTTTTGTTGAGTGGCCCATCATAACCCCCGAGTTATAGTGGGGGTGGGTGGGTGGGAGCAGAGCCGGCAGAAAAGAGCACAGTGCTGATGATTTAAAAACAGAAACAGAGATCAGAGCTGCTTCCTAAACATACACCAACATCTCAGCGGCTCAGCTCTTCCTTTGACTTACTGACCTCCACTTCAAGCACAACGGGAAAATGTCAAGTATTGGTTGGCTTCCTAACTTTAATTTTGTGTGAAAGGGAGCTTGCCACACGTAAAGAATTGAGATATAATTCCCTGGCACCATGAAAACAATTCTCACGTAAAGTTTTAACAACTTTGGTATTTTGGTAGTTTTGTCCATTACAAGGAAAATAATGTTCACATAAACCAACCTCTTCAGAATATGTTGGAATATGTCATAGTTTTTGAAATGCATTACTATGAATTAATAAATGCACACTTGTGACTTGGATAGAGGCCAACTGTTATGCTTAATGACTTATTTTCAAAAATATCAGAACTATTACTCAATTTGTCAGTATCCAGAATGGAACAACAGTAACATTCTGTTACTAATGGCAATGCAATGCCATTTTCCAATTAAGGGGTATGATACTTGGTCTAACCATCTGTGATCAGAGCAGCCTGACTATTTGGTTATTTGTACAATGAAGACTATCCCATGATAAACATTGTGTTATGAAAGAACATTAAGAGTAGACTGTAATACCCTTTAGAGCAAGGTTTGTATCTTATTCATCTTTATCCCTGTTAGCTCCAAGAACCAAGCATTGCGTATAGGAGCTGCTCAATGCATTTTTGCTGAATGATTGGAAAACAACAGAAGTCCTTAATTTAATCTGCCATGGCATCAATAGAGGAAGAGCTTACCCAGCACATTTACAAATGCATTTCCCAGTAAATATCCATATTCATTAGAGGCATTGCACTGGTACACGGCACTGGATCGCTCTTGAACACTTGAAAAAATAATGGTATCTCCATTTATTTTTCTGCTGGGGTCATCAGGGGCAACTGTTTGGGTGTAAAAATAAAAAAGTATACATTTATTCCCCTTTGCTGAGAAGATGTAAAGCTTGAGGTCTACATTTAAAAATCACATTAGTAAGCAGAACAAATACAGAATGTTCTAGGTATGTCCAGTGTGAAGAACAAGACCGAGAACTGAGGCAGAAGCCACAATTTTCCTTCCTCAGAATTGAGTTATCACTTAGCATGGGTGTATGCTGGATAGTCACTTAGTTTTAAGTGGATTGACTGAACATTATTTTAAGAGAGGCAGGAACAGAAAAGCACAAATTAGGTGAAAACTGTAATACAGATTTAGGAAAACATTTCCTTGTTCACAAAGACATCATCATTAACTATTAAGAGGAGACAGCACAAGCTAGTCAAAAACAATTTAGGAACCCTCTAACTCATCCAAATCTGTCTTTTAAGAGCCTCTTTTTGAAATAACTAGATAAATAAATAAATAGGCAAATAAATATAGAACTAGTAATCAAATGTGAAATCCTTCTTTTCCTGTTTTGGGAATTCCTGAGGTTGGCATAGAAATACACTGTGTAAAATTTCTTTGAAAGGTGGTATTTTCAGCTAAACCTCTCAAGTACTTACAAAAATGTTAAGACCAGGATTGATTCTTACTGACGTGGAATGGCACTGGCTGGGTAATGTAATATGTGAGAATTATGTCCAGGGCATGCCTAACAACTTGGAGGTGCTGCATTCCTGAGACAAATCCCTTGGTGTGAATGTTAAAGCTGAGGCGGGGGCCTCCCATTGCTTTAAAAGGACACCAAAAGGGCTAAGAGGCATCTGCCTCAGCACGCCGATCCAAAGCAAAACTGAGTCACAGCAGCCTTTCTTTCAACTGCTCTTGTAACGTGAGCCACTTAAGTAGACTTTGCTTTCATTCTTCACACCATTTTCCCCTTTGATGGCAGGAAATGGAATGTGCATCTAAGACATGATTATCACTGCATTCAGACTCCTTTATGTCTTTAAAATTTCAAATATTGGGTTCATTTGTGATCAACTCACTTTAATAAAAGCCAAAATATAGTTATTAATCTTTGTATTATCACACACTTTCAATGTGTCAATGCTTTCTGCATTAGTTTCTATTGCTGCTATCACAAATTATTACAAATGTAGTGGCTTAAACCACACAAATTTACAATCATACAGATTTATATGTAGATGTTAAACACTCAGATCACAATCAATAGATAATTTATGAAATTATCTTAAACTAGAGGCCCAGTGCATGAAATTCATGCATTGAAGGTGGAGGGGGGGAGCCCTCAGCCCGGCCTGCCCCCTCTCACAGCCCGGGAGCCCTTATAGGCAAGAGGCAACCTGGTGATCAGGGGAAAGTGACACCCCACTACACCTCTGCTGCTGCCACTGCCGGCAATGCAAGCCTCGGCTGGCCCTGGTTACCTGAGTCTCGGGCAGCCCTGGGTGGCTGGGCAGCCAACATCCAAGGCTTGCCTGTGCCTCAGGTCGGTCCTGGGTGGCTGGGGGGCTGAGTGGACTGGGGGATTCCAGAGGCAGGCACTCGTAGTGGCCAGACCCGCCTGGGGGTGGGCCCGGTCTTGCCGTGCCTGCCACCCCAATGGGGCTGAGGGGAGTGGGTGCCTCCATCTTGTGGCTGTGGGTGCTGCCACCTTGGAAGGTGTGACAGCTAATTAGCATATTCCCTCCTTATTGGCTATGGGCACTGCCACCTTTGCGATGGCTTGAGTATCAATTAACATATTCCCTCTTTATTAGATAGGATACTCCAGTTAGTTCAACTAGTGATCAGGTCCAACTAGTGAGTCAGCTTCTTAGCTCATATCTGCTGTTTACGAGTCTGATGTTTTAAAAATTGCCTTAGAAAACACGTTCATTTTTTTTCTTTTTCTTTTTTTGTCTTCTATTGCTTATATCATAGAAGACAATAACAAGTTCCAACTCCTTTAACGGGGTACAAGTTTTACCAATAAACGACAGGAGAGAACAGAAATGCCACAGTGACGTAGGAAGTGAACTACAGCTGTGACCAGGCATCCAGGTGCCCTGAGAGCGCAGTACACCTCAGGGCAGCCGTGTTCCTTGTTCCAGATCAAGTCTGGTATCATCAGGATCTTTCTGATTCACACGCCCTCAGTGATGCCCATCCACTGCCTCAGCAGGGCGTGCTGGAGCAGAGCTGAGTAACAAATCTGGACCCAGCACTTGGGCACTCACTGTGGGGATTCCGCAGGGGACCCTCGGTGCCCCTACATGTCCATTCGGACTGTACCTCCAAGGACATGCCACTCAGTGGAGGGCCGGAGGTGAGTGACAGGCAGTGACAGTGATGAGGCCGGCGGAGACTCTGGGCCTTATCCATCTGGATGGGTGGCAGACTAAGTGAGAAGAGCTCCTCGAATTCTTTGAATATGTTGTGCTTTTAGACATCACACCACTCTGTGATGTTTAATGGCAGAGAGTTCTAGTTTAGCAAGATGAAAAAGTTCTGGACGTCTCTTTCACAATAATGTGAATATATGTAACACAACTGGACCGTACACTTAAAAATGATTAGGATGGCCAAAACTGGTTTGGCTCAGTGGATAGAGAGTCCCAGGTTCGATTCCAGTCAAGGGCATGTACCTTGGTTGCGGGCACATCCCCAGTAGGGGGTGTGCAAGGGGCAGCTGGTTAATAATTTTCTCATGGATGTTTCTAACTCTCTATCCCCCTCTCTTCCTCTCTGTAAAATATCAATAATATATATATATACTTTAAAAATTATTAAGATGGTAAATTTTATATCATTTTTTTAACCACAATAAAAAAGGTTGCAGCACCATGAACATAGAAGACCAGCTCAATGAACATGCCAGCAGGACAGTCTTCCTCCAGCGGGACTCATTAGTCACATCATAAAGTAAACCGTTTAAAAAAGGTTTTACGCCGCCCAGTTGCACCTTTTGATGTTATTCTTTACACGAAAGTCATCCAACTGGCCGTGCCTTAGTTCTGCTAAGTGGAGCAGTCTTTGAATATTGGCAAGGTATTCAGGAATAAAATAAACCCTTTCGGTAAAAGTAGTGAACGAGCAGGTCTCGCTCCATGGGGCTTGGTCTACATTTTCCTTAAGCACTTACTAATGAAACCAAACAAACCCAGGAGCTGTCGGTTGTCCGTGGCTCAGATGGCATTTGGACAAAGAATGAAACTGTCCAGAGATATTTGAATGAAGCCTTTGGACTATGTACTTGACTATGGGGTGGGAAAAGCACTCTAGTGCAAAGCTAAGTTATCGAAAGGAATAATAATTGATTCTAGAAATAACTAATTTCATTTGCTAATAATGAACACTGGAGGAAGACATGTAAAAGCCTAGAATCACTGCGTGTCACTTAAATCCCCAAAGATAAGGCTCCGAATGGGGTTGATAGCCTTCCAATAATACTTACTTTTATCCTGACATGACTGCCTGAACTATATACAAATGTTTCCAGCCTTTAGATAATGAGGAGAGTCACCTTCCAAGTATAGAGCATTATTCATTTTAAAAATATTGTATGTCTGTTGCATAATTTTATTTAAAAAAGAACTTTGTGAGCCAGATTAACAAGCTATCACATGCACTCAAGACTGGAGCACTTCATGGTTTGTTTACCGTGAGGTCAATGCTCAGGTTTTCTGAGTTAGTCTGCTTCATAAACATCTCCAGAAATCTGAACATTTGGGAATAAGGCAGACCAAGTCTCTAGGTGAGGAGGTGAGTTTTCCTCTTCAATTACTTATTTCATCCACTAGAAGGATTTTTACTTTTGAGAAAAGGAAGGAGATTGGTGGAACCTTGGGAATATCCTGGTCCCTTCCTCCATTCCCTTGGCTGCTTATCATATCCTACTGGTCCCTAATCTCTCCCTGCGATGTCAGTAATATATGTAATTGTGGAAGGAGGTCTATGCACTCTCTCTCTCTCTTCATTCCCTGCCCTCCTCATGTCTTAGAGAAAAGAAACCTTGTGACATAATGGTGGAGTGATGTGAGTGATGTTATATATGCTCCGTGTGGAAGAATCTGAGATCAACCACAACTCACATGGAACACGATTACAGATCTACAAGTGTTAGGCTCTCCTGCTGCCTCCTAGGACAGGGAGAGGAACTTTGGTGCCCACAACCTTGGCCTTGGACATTTTCTTTCTGGTCCTTCCACACCTTCCCAGACATTGCAGGTCACATGATAAAAATTAAAGCTCTCTGCAGCTGTGTTCTTTCTCCTGACCTCTGTAGGTTGTTTAAAGAATATTTTAGGTAATTTTGGGGAAATTCCATATTTCATGCAGTCTATTTTTTTTGCTGCAAGAAAAGTTTAAAGTAACATGGCCAGTTTGGGGGGTGGGCAGAGCCTTAGAAGACATTGAGATTAGATCCCAGGCAGTTTTTGAGTGAATTCTCCCAGTTTTGTAAAACAGGTCCCAGGTCTGAAATGCGCAGTCACAAATCAATTAACACTACTTTGCTAGCAACTCCTCTCCCCCTTCCTGATCCTACTTCTCCTTTACAGTATTTATGTGCCCTTGGGCCTGCAGAGGTAGGAGGAGTGTCAATGTTCTTGGGTGACTGCCTACAAGCCAGGTATGGGGAGGCTGTGTACCTGGGAGTATGCTCCCTGATAGTGCCTCTGCTGTGTGGTACCTGGTGGGACTCCAGGCACCTGGCAGAGATGCTGAGCAGCTCCCCGCATGAGAATGCTGCAGAGGCACAGCTGTCCCCTGCCCCTCACCCGCGGCAGCTGGTCTGCCCAAGGTTTCTGCAGCCTCTTTGGTGAAAGGCATGGTCAGCAAATCAGCTTGTGCTGCCAGCAAACTTGTGAGGCCCAGTCTAGGCCCCCTTGAAGGTTAGAAATGCCTACCACACCTATTGTGAGCCACTGTAGACTACAGAAACTTTGCTCTCTTGCCTACCCCTGACTCTCTGCCAACCTTTCCCCAGGACCCATCACTGCTGGATGCAGCAGTGGGGGGTGCACCATTCAGCAAACTGCAGAGGAGAAACAAGTCCCAGGCCCCTGTTTCCAGAATAGTCCCAAACCTCAAAGGCAACACTGCTTAGCGGCCTCTAAATTCAGAAGGCAACAGTAAAGTGGAGAAGCACAAAGATCCTTGAAATTCCATGAATTTTTGACAGTTTTTCCCCCCACTTACTCCTTGTATTGTATCAGGGTTAGGTCAACACAAGGTGGAGCATGTAGGTTGACTTTGAACTCAGTAGCTGGTCCAGATGCTGAGGGTGGGAACAGAGAAGAGCAGTGAGCCTGCAATATCATCCTGCAGAGAGCTAGGAGGGTCCCCACCCGGTGACTCAGCTCTTTGCCTTTTAGTTATAAAGTTCCAAAAAGCAATCCTTACATGTTTAGTTTGGCCACCAACGGTGGAGAGAGACACCTGGTAGGGATGCTTCCTATCACTGTGGTGTAAACATAGGGCACCTGCTCCTGGCACCATGGGACAGCCTGGAGGGCAGGATCCTTGTCTGCTGCCATGTCATGGCGTTTCCCTCCTTGCTTGTCCCCCAGAGTGTCAGGAACCCTGGGTCTGTAGGCTTTGTGGAATTCTGATCCCACCTTCGCTCAACCACCTGTTTTCCTTCCAGTGGGGACTTACATACTTTTTTTTTTTTTAAATATATATTTTTATTGATTTTTTACAGAGAGGAAGAGAGAGAGATAGAGAGCTAGAAACGTCGATGAGAGAGAAACATCGACCAGTTGCCTCTTGCACCCCCCCACTGGGATGTGCCCGCAACCAACGTACATGCCCTTGACCGGAATCAAACCTGGGACCTTTCAGTCCGCAGACCGACGCTCTACCACTGAACCAAACCGGTTTTGGCAGGACTTACATACTTTTGAGATGGAAGAAATGAACTCATATGGAACCTGATTTGACAGATTTTGTCTTCTTTCTCCTCCGGACCTAATCAGATAACTTGGGGTGAGAGTAGAAGGCCCTAATCTCCTGGGACTACTCTGCTTTGAGCCAACCTCCCCATTCAAAGCAGGCCTTCCAAAACATTTTACTTAAAGTGGAATGTCTAGGAGTGTATTTAAGCTCTTAATACAACTAGGGTTACCAAGTTTCCTGAGAGACACTGCCTGTCCTGGGTTGGAATGACAATAAGTTGAGCGAATCAGGAAGAAAGATCCGCTTCATAATTTAATCTCCCCTGTTCTTTTGTCACTGACCTACCTCCATCTCGATGTCCCCCGCTTCCTGTCGCATTCCGGCTGCCAAGCAGCACTCCCTGACTCCCTGAGGCTGGGTTTAAACAGAAAGGGATTTTCTCTCTGTCTAAGGGAAGGTCTGCACTCCAAGAAGAGGAAATGTTCCCAGATGCTCCGGTGGGTGGCAGTGGTGGTGGCTGGGGCTGAGAAATGGGAGCCTCGGTGGCCTCTCTGGGGATGCCGTGGCTCAGGTGGGGGGCGAGAGATGCAATATTTGTTTTCAGTTTTCTTTTCCTTTGCTACAACCCCCTTCTATCCTCAAGCCTTTACCAAAGTTTTGTAAAACCGATGTTTGCTATGATTTAGGAAATTAATGGAAGGGCCTGTGGCCACACTTGAGGGTCTGTTCAAGGCAGCAGAATGGCAGCCTGGACCAGTTGGCTGAGAGAAACTTCAGGAGTGGACCAGGGAACGCGCCAGGAGCGGTGACAGCTGCAGCCAGGACTGTGTGAGAACTGCTCAAGAATGATCTCCTCGATCCCTGGGAAGGGAAACTGGTCAAGACTGAGTGTCCTGCGTTGGCCAGGGCGAGAGGTGTGTTCTTTGGCTGTTTAGTGGAATAGGGGCCTCTGAAGCCTTGAGAATTTGGGAACTATATTTATTCTGGGCTATATTTAGGAATAAAAACTCATTCAGTTAAGACAGCTATGTTTCTTATTCTTCTAGCCACTGGCTCTATTCCCAAGCTTCCCCATCCACCTCCTCTGACTCTTATGATGTTTCTGTAAACCACTTCACATTCTGAACAAAGAATATAATCCGAGCTTCTCAGTGATGTTTGTTTCTGACCTTTCCTTTCTTCCTATGCTGCATGTAAAAACAACAACAATAAAGGAAATATCTCCAAGTCCCAATCAACACATGCTGTTATAGTACAAATATTCCATCATAATAAATATCTAAAGGTGGTAAATTAAAAATATAAAGGTAATTTGGTATCTGTTTGCCTTATACATGACTGCCTTCCTTAATCCAAATTATTTTATCAATACTTGTTCCCTGCTGAGATGTACCTATGCCCTAAAAATACACCACCACTGAAGCCAGTCAAGGAAACTTACTTTCTATTGGGACTCCATTCGATAACCAGCTAATTTTGGGTTTGGGGTTGCCATTAGCTCTGCAGTTCAGGGCCCCGTTCTCTCCTGGGGACAGCACAAGATTTTGAGGTGCCATGATCCAGTATGGAGCCGCTTGATTGAGAAAAACAAAACAAAACAAAACAAAACAAAACAAAACAAAACAAAATTTTGAGTCAAATAAGTATCTTGGAAAATTTAGTATAATGAACTATGTTAGTTTTATTTTTTAGAGTGAATAGATTTATAAGTGATGCTTCAAATAATACTTCAGATTTTCCAAAGAATGTTTAAAGAGACTCACTTGATATCTATGTATTATTTCTAAGCCTTTTTGATATAATGATCATCTGTTTTACAGTAATTAATCATACATCAAACAGGCCACAGATTTATCCAAGGGTGTAGAGCAATTTACTGGTACAGTTAGGACTGAAAACATGAATTTAAATTCTGAGTCTCACAGGATATATGTCATTATAAAATTAGGAAGCAATTTTTAAAACTTTGCAATTGTGAAAAGTTGCAAAGTTAATATACACTGAGTGGCCAGATTATTATGACCTCTGAATGCATAATAATCTGGCTACTCAGTGTGTTTGTATCTCAAATAGGTACCAAAAGTATTCTAGACTTTTGCTGGAGATCAACCACCTATTTGCCCTGAGCTTTCTATCAGCCAGTGCAAAGGGGAAGACTGGTCAGGTGGATGATTTATAGTATCTTTGATATCAAATAAAGGAGGTGCTCAAGAGAAGTACACTGAGTGGCCAGATTATTATGCGTTCAGAGATCATAATAATCTGGCCACTCAGTGTATAGTATTCCCACAATATCTCTGATGTTAATATCTGATATAACCATGGTACAGTTATCAAAACATGAAATTAACATTGGTACAGCGCCATTAACTCAACAACACACTTTATTAGAACTTCCCCAGTGTTTCCATGGTCTTATTTCTGTCCCAGGACCCTGGACACCACATTGCATTTATTGTCAGATTTCCCGAGTTTCCTCCAATCTGAGAATTTCTTTGTCTTTTGTGTCTTTCATGACCTTTAGACTTTTGAAGAACACTGCTCAGTTATTTTGTAGAATGCCTTTGGACTTGGATTTGTCAGTTTTCTCATGATTAGACTGAAGTTTTGGGTGATGGATCTTCTGATTACAACATATCAACATACTACTGGTTGCGTTAATCTTGATTTCCTGGTTAAGGTGATGTTTGCCAGGTCTCTCCACTGCAGTTAGCATTGTTCTGCTTTCCGTACTCCATTTACATAGTGAGGCACTAAATTCAGCCCACATTCAAGGAGAGGGTCTAGAAGGTCCATCTCCTTAAAGGAGGAGTATAAAGAATGTAAAGACATCTATCTAAACTGCCTCAGTAAATTATTTTCTTTTGGGGCGGGATAAACACAGGTACTTTGAGGCTATGCAAATCTTCTTTCTCTTTAAGGTTTCATCCACTAATTTTAGCATTCGTCACTGGCTCTTGCCTGCAGCAATAATTATAACGGGGATTTTAATGGCGATTTTCCATTTACTTCATTCTTTCTACATTTATAATTGGGATTCTTTTGTAAGGAAGAGTTGAGAAAGCTATTTTAAATCTTATTTAAATGTTCTTTAAGTGTAAATAGCGATGAGAAGAGAGTCACACTATCATGGATGTTGATCTAAATTTACGTTTATTATTATTGAAGAATATAATGGGAGGCATGTGGATTGAAGAAGTAGGGCCTCTCATGCATGTAAGAGCAATACATTTCAAACAATGGTATGTACCTTTTACTGTGACAGAGATGGTGTGATGGATGACCCCTAACGCATTTTTGGCGATACACTGGTACTTCCCCGAGTCTGCTTCTGAAACTTGGGTGATCTGCAGAGTTTTCTGAAAGTTCCTATAAAATGTCCGGTTGGTGGGTAGTGTTCCATCTTCTTTTATCCAGTAAATAATTGGTGTGGGCCTGATAAGATAAATAAAGGATGATGATACAAAACAACAACAACAACAACAACAACAAAACTGCTTTTGAGGGCGAATTTTCATGCAAATTTAAAATAAATGCTTTATATAAAGTTAATGAGAAATATACAGATACTTTAACTAGCATCACACTTTTATAAGTAATGCTCAGAGCCTTATGTTTAAGGCTATCAGCTACCATTTTTACATAAGCAGAACTGTGCTACTTTGTGGCACACCATAATCATTGACTGAATGGTGCGGTGAATATGCCAGCACGAGTTATTCTTCTAAGTTCACATCAATGAGGCACTCTTGGAAAATTTTACATGAAGGTACTATGCCAATCAAAAAAATTACCATGAAGTTAATAATATTGAGTTAATTTTTTTTTTTTTTTATCAGCTAGAGTTCAAGAGGCACAAGAGAAAGAGATGATATACATAGTTGTGCCCAGGAATTTTTTTTACACACATTTCCACATCAAATGAAAGAGCGTTTTTATTTCAAACCAGGCCATCTGGTAATGTAAATGAAGTAATTAGAGAGATTGTGCTCTTTACTTAATTTCATTATTATTTATTAGAGGCCCAGTGCAGGAATTCGTGCATAGGTGGGCTCCCTTGGCTTGGCTGGAGTTCAGGACTGATTGGGGTCTTTCTCTACCAGTCCTGATTGGTGCCGGCCAGCTGCAGGGAGGGACCACAGAAGGTTGGCCAGTGGGCCAGCAGGCCTGTGGGGAGGGACCATGGGAGGTTGGCTGGCCATGGGAGATTGGCTGTGGGAGTGCACTGACCACCAGGGGCAGCTCCTGCATTTAGTGTCTACCCCCTGGTGGTCAGTGCATGTCATAGCTACTGCTGAATTGTCCAGTCATCTATTAGTAATGGTCACTTAGGCTTTTATATATATTATACCAATTGAGAAGAAGAGATTAAACTCATGTATTATACCATTTCTTACAGCGTTTCTTATTCAATTATGAAATATAGAGACCAATGAAAAGCCAGAACACAGGCTTAGAGTTAAAGATCTGTTTTTCAAGTCCCAGCCCTGTCCCTAAATTGTTCCCTGACCTTGGCTCCCTGACCTCTTTGGGCTTCAGTGTCCGTAGTTGCCTTACTGTGGATAATAATGCCTGACTTGATCAAGTGGCTTTAGAAGGTTTACATGAGGGTAAAATAAAAATCCACTGGACACTAACATTTGTAGGCATGGAACTAGAGACCAAGCACTGAGTTGTGTGTTGGGAAGATGAAGAAAGAATGAATCAGGCCCTCAGGAAGATCACAATATTTGTCATTAGAAATTCAAGGTGGGATTAATTATTTTAAAAAATTGATTTTGGTTTCTTTGGTTGAACAAAAATAATTGAACACATATATTTGAAGGAATGGCTTCTAAAATAAGACATGATGTGAATATAAAAAGAGGCAAAACTGTGAAATCGTTTTGGAAAGCTGGAGCTACCATACACATGTGGAATCAGATAGCACACTGTGGTGTTTCCTTACAGTCGGATTAATCTGCATCTCCTATATCTGAAGGTGAGAGGGCAGTGGGGGTAGAAGCATGAGATCACAGCTTAGCTAAGTCGTGAACTGCTCTGGAGCCTGCTATTGCTCTGAGCAGGTGTTAGGAATTAGACATATTTTTATTCTATTGAGTCTCATGTTTATAGATTTATAAACGATAAAGCTCCAATCTTAGTTTTGCAACACCCCAAGTTTTAAAATAAATTTTGGAAGTTTGAGGAAATTTCCAAATACCAGCCATATTTTACATTTTTATGTAATATATCACTTGTGGGAAGGGGAAGCACTAAACTGTGAGAACGAGGACATCTACTCCCAAAAGGTTGAAGGTTGGTAGATTAAACCACTTTTTAACATAATGTTGAAGAAAATTGAAAGGTTTTCTGTTTGTTTGTTTGTTTGCTTGCTTCTAATTCTATTGGGAAATATATATATTTAATATATCTTTAAATGAGGGCTTTGCTAGTTTTCAGGTGCTTGAGACCCTGAGTAGTGTGTAGTGTGCTTTCCTACCATGGCTAGCAGAGGCCTCCATGTCTCTCCAGCCATAAAGTCATTTCCGAAGGCCGATTCGGGGAAGGAAGGTGAGACTCCTGAGTTACCAGTCAGGAGAAGCACAGATCAAACATGTGATCACAACATGTTCCTGAGAATCTATTAAATGCTTTCAGCATAGGTGCCCATATCAATTGTACTTGCTCTATGCCATGTATCAGAAGGGACTAGGTAGAAGCTTGTCTCTAATGTGTAACTATAATAATCTAACTGTTGTTCTTATATCTGAGTGAGGCCTTCCTGCACCTCCTGTCAAGGGCACATAGGGTCTAGGGGTGACATCAATTTTGATTAGACATTTGCAAAGAAGCTGGGCTTGTGACTTTACAGTAGGAAACAGTGCAAGGAACAGTGTGCCAATTTCGAGGCGAGGCCCTAAAAGGCTGAGCGTGCTTTTATTGTTAGAAGAATTAGCCTGGGCTGGGCCAATAGAGCAGTGGTTCTCAACCTTTTACTGGCGTGACCCTTTAATACAGTTCCTCATGTTGTGGTGACCCCAACCATAAAATTAGGCTCTACAGCAGCGGTTCTCCTTGTAGGTCGCAACCCATAGTTTGAGAACCGCTAGCAGGGTAAGACCATCGGAAAACACAGATATTTACGATTCGTAACAGTAGCAAAATTACAGTTATGAAGTAGCAAGGAAAATAATTTTATGGTTGGGGGTCACCACAACATGAGGAACTGTATTAAAGAGTCATGGCATTAAAAGGGTTGAGAACCACTATGCTAGAGGGATGTGAGAAATTCAAGGCCAAGAGCTCAGCTGTGCAGCTGACAGCCAGCACTACACCCTCACAACTGTGAACCCATAGCTGAGCCACCTAGCAGACACATGAGCAAGCTTAACCTAAATTAGCTGGATTAGCCCACTCTAGTACAACCTCCCTGCATACCTGCAGAAAAATTATTAATGGTAAATAGCTACTGTTTTTAAACCACAATGTTTTGAGGTGGTTACACACAGTGGCAAAATAATGCACCCTAATTATAACTGTAGCAATCATAAGGTGATTACTGATACTTATTTCATGAGGAACACTATTATATTAAAAATCTCTCTATATAAAAGCCTATGCAACCATCCAACCGTTTGACCATCTGACCGGTAGCTATGATGTGGGGGCATGATCACCAGGGGGCAGACGCTCAATGCACAGGCATGGAAACATGGAACAGACTGATGAATCTCAGAAGGAAAGAAGAAGAGGTGAGGCAGGAAGAGATTAACCAAAGATCTTATATGCATACTAGAGACCTAGTGCACGGATTTGTGCACTGGTGGGATCCCTCAGCCCGGCCTGCGAGGATTGGGCCGAAACTGGCAATCTGGCATCTCCTGAGGGGTCCCAGGTTGTGAGAGGGTGCAGACCAGGCCGAGGCACCCCACTGGTGCATGAATCCGTGCACCAGGCCTCTAGTGTTTTAATAATATGGTATTATATAACCTATTTTGGAAATAATTATCAGCTATTTCTTGATGTGTGATGGAATAATACAAGACAATGATTCTTCCTATGATATTAATACTTCTCTACCAATCTATTCTGTTTTTACAAGAAATGTACACCAAGACACAAAGTATTAACTCACAGTCCTTCTGCAATACATTCTAATGAAAGAACATTTCCTCTTAATTCCTCTTTGTTACTTGCATTGCCTTCTGGAGTTAAAAATGTTGGTGGCCTCTCTCTACTTGATTTAGCTGTAAACAAGAAAATCAGTATGTATTAAAAGTTATGAATATGTATTTCTAGAAACACAGTTCACTGCCTAAAAATCTAATTCTTTTTCAAAACTATTTAACATTGTAAAATTTGTTAAACTTCACATGCACACTCTTTGCCTTACAAATAGCTGTTGCTCACTTAGCAACCCAGGAATAGAAACAATTCTGGTTGCATAAACACTAATGGCAAGAACTGTTCTCCTTTCATATATTTTCTTAATTTGTAAAATTTTTTGTGAATCTTTTGTGTACAGGTAAATTTTCACAATGTAGACATAGAAAGGAAAATCATGTTCTCAAACTATACATCACATAAAATTAGTGCTCAAAGCAAAATTAACTGTCTACTTTCTAGAAGATGTTAGATTTTTCTGAAGGTATGACTGTGGATGGGCTATTCTGGTTTCCACCAGGGACAACATTGTACTCAATTCCATTGATTAATCATGGAGATAAATTTGTGGTAGATGTCTAATATGTCAAGGTCCTCAAATTGCAAGGTTTATGGAAAACAAAATCAGAAAGTCACTAACAGAGTCTGGCAAATTTTGCTACCAAGTAAGAATAATAATGGAGTTAAAGAAATTGAAATTGGTTTCCTCAATGAAAATATAAAGAGGGCTCAAATCAGAGATCTCTGGGAGATTTATACAGGCTACCTTTTTTCTTATGGGGATCTTGCCTAAATGTGGTTTTATATTCTGGTGAACTCTCAGAAAAACTTAAAGTAGAAAGCAAACCATATTCTGATTCTGTAGCCCTTTACAGTTTTCAAAATTTTAATGTATTAATTATTTGATGATCACAAAAAATTGAATATGGTAAAATTATAGGTGTTTTTTTTGTTTTGTTTGTTTTTTTGTTTTTTAAGATTTTCAAGTTAGAGGCAATCTTACTCCTCTGAAATCACTTTGGGAATGGTTTGGAGGCCTATGTCTTTCAGCAGTATATTACAACAAAAATAAAACAGGAGTTGTGGTGTGTCTATTCTGGTGACTGATAGAACCTTAATGTTTTTTTACTTCATACTCAAAGGTAAAAAAAGAATGCAGCAGAAATTCTGCCTTCTAGATAATTAAGAAGATCCCATATTCCATAATTTTCAAAGATCAATTCCAGAATCCATAATTTTCAATGATCAATTCGGTGCCTGAGATCCACATTTCCCTTAAGGAAATCAAATTCTTTTATTTTCAAAAGAATGAAGATAAATGCTCTATTTTGTAAAAAATTACTTCTACTGAAGATAATGACTGGGTTTTAAACAAAATTGAGAAATACTGTTGCTAATTATACAATATTCATAATGTCATGTGAAAACAGATGGGAAATGTGATGACATGTTATCAAAATCCACTTACTGTTAGTTGCTAAAGGTTACTAAGATGTTGAAGAGTTAGTATTCAAGCAGGTTAATGCATCCTGCCAATTCTTATTTAGCTCATGAGAAAAATTTATGAACAAGACAAAAAATAAAAAATCTAATTCTGAACACACATGAACATTTTTTCCAAATTACGTGAAATGGTTCTTTGCATGAAAACAGCTATAATAACTTTCATTATTATACATACAACATGGAAAATGTTTTAGTGGTATGTTTGCAAGCTTATAGCTAAATTTCACAAGAAACATACATTTACTCTAGTGGCAACTAGAAATTTCATAAAGAAATAGGGTTAAATAGCCATGGAGGTGAAGTTAGTGAACTAAATTCTACAATGAAGGAGAGATTATCGGTTACAATCACCATAACTCACCACCATAAACCTCAGTGTCACTCAAATTAGCTGCTATAGTGTCATTCAATTCATCCACTGAAATAAACAGAATATTATGAAGAATGTAAAAGAGTAGGGGAGAAGGTATTGCAAGAAAAAATACTGGGCAATGAAAGCAAACATATCCAGCTATGCTGACCATGTGCAATCCCTACTAACTAAAAACAGTGCTTTCCATCATACATGACTAACTCATTCATTTACTCAGTCACCCCAACCAGCATTATGTGAACATGTAACTGAAGCTGTAGGTTTGCCCATTAAAGATATCATGGAGCATAAATCACATGCAAATGTGTGTGGGGAAAAAAAAAGAAAAGAACTTCAAGTAAATTCACCAAGTTATCAGGAAAACAGTCACATTAATTACAGCAAAAATTGTAAAGTACAGTATTTAGGGTCTGTATGCATGCTCTTTAGAACACATATGCAAACACTTTAGTCACTTTTCACAGGTAGTTTCCTCATCAATGAATCCCTTTACGTCAGTCAGTAGTTGTGAGCAGTTGGTATGTTTTTACAATTCATTGAAAGACAGATGCAGGGAGCTAAACACTTACCTGAAATCACCTTCACAGAAATAGGCTGCTTCTGCTGTATGGTTTGAGTGTGGTTAAATCTGGCGTAACAGATATAGTCTTCGCGGGAATCCTCTGGGAGAACGTTGGAAAAATAAAGGTCTCCATTCAGACCCTGGGAAACCCTCTCACTCTGAGGAAGTCTTTGAAAGGCTGGGCAGAGGCAGAGAAATAGCCAGAGCATTCTATCATTAAAGAGACCACTTTCCAAATTAGTAAGACAAATGTATCTACTCCTAGTTCTGTGTATTATTAAATCTCCAATTGTACCTGTGGACTCTAATTTCTCTGGAGTAGGACAGAGATGACATTAGATTTGTACAGCGAAGTGTTTTATTAAGCAAGTGTAAACAACAACAACAAAAAGTTTGTGTGACCTTTCCTAATAGTTTAGTTAACCTCTAAATATACACACATGCACACATGCCTTAAAATATGCACTAAGGAAGCTTATAAGGATATTAAGCTGGGTTTCATCATCACAAATGGCCAAATATCAAATACAGGGAGAGCACCTACCATGAACTAGGCCCTCTGCAGATGTCAGGCATAACAAGGACTCTACCCTGTCTGAGCTTGTCTAACTGAAGAATCAGGCAGCAAAAGGGCAATTAACAATAAGGATGCAATAATGACACTAATACTGCACACACATCCCTCAGCAGCCCCCTCTCCTAGCCTTCCTCACCTCCTCTACCTTTTCTTTTCTGAGTTACTTAGCACCTTCTAACATACAACATATTTCATGTGTCATGCCCATGGCTGACTGCCTGTCTCCCCGGGCCAGAATTCATGTTCCAGGGCGACAGAGACGACCGCCTGCATGTCTGTCATGGTAGCCCCGAAGCCGCACCTTGCCTTGCACAGCAACTCCGTAATTAAATCAGCAGCTGTCAGCTTCAGGTTTCACCATTTACTCCCTCTTGGGTCCAGGTGAGGAACTGTCTAGCTTCAGGCATGAAGTTCCCTTTTCTAACTTGATGAAGGATGCAGGGGACCGCTGATCCGTGTGTGAATTCACACTGGGCTGGCTAACATGCATCCTGAAGCTTCTGACTCAGTCCACAGAGTCTACACTGGGAGGATTCTTCAGCTTTGGAGTGAAAGAACTGGGGAAAAATTGCATACCCAGGCCCTGGGCCAGGTTGTATGGGACCAGAGGATTTCTCCAGTCCCAGCCACCGCTGTGTTCCTCCTGCAGCAGGTACCCTCGCTAACATTTCACAAAAGGTGAACTTGTGGTTCGAAGCCTGCAGCTCCCTTGCGCAGAAAACAGGACAGAGAAATGTGGAGCCAGAGCCAGAGACAGCGCTGGTTAGCAGCATTAACAAAGACGCAAATTTGGCTGGTGATTGCAAATTCATGGTTTTGAGTCACTAATCCGTAGGGAAAGAATCGTTTTAAAAATAACTCATAAAAATAACGTACGGTTATTTAGTGAATACAGAGAGACAAAGATTAAGCATGCATTTATTCTCTTCTGTTTCTCCTGCTGGATTTTATTACGGACACAGTTCAGTAGATCAAATTAAAGTGCCCGTTGAATTCCTTTGTGTTACATTAAAAAAAAATGTATGCAGATAGGAATAACTTGATAATGTCATCTTGCAAGAAGGATGCTCTACAGAACTGAATTTTTCTTATAGTCTAGATGCAATTTTATTTGAAAGATCCAGATGATATGCCAACAGTCTAAAATGTATGTAGATGACATAGCGAGCAGTGCAATATGGGAAAAAATTGGTTATTTATTCAGATGATTCTGAAACTATACATGTACATGTGTCTTTATTAAGTGAAAAGGTCACCATTTCTGAATAAGAACCAAGGACCAAATACTAGCCTCCGTTGGCAGTGACATTTAGATGCTGTTATTCTCAATGTCACACACCAGACATTTACATTTGATTTATTGCCTATTCTTTCAAAACCAGTAAAAGCAATAATGGGGAAAATATGCTTGCTCATTTACTCATGTACATGTTTTATTTCCCATTTTTCATGATACTTTCTCTGAGTGCTTTTCAAGAAAGAGCCAAAATGGATATTATATGTTAGAGCTAAATTTTACCTTTGGTAATATGTACAGCACGTGACTTCAGAAGAAATCATGTCACTGAGAACGAAATCTATTCCCAACAAATATTTCACTTGCATTGCCACCATTATACCTAAAGGACTCCTGTCCAGGTCAACAGTAACCTCCATGATGCCAAATTCAATAGTCATTCTTAGTCAGATCAGAAGTTATAGGATTTATCAGCAGCATTTGAAACTGTTGACTATTATGTCTTTTTTTTTTTAATTACCTTTACTGTTGAAAATATTATAGAAACCCCGCCCCCCCCCCACCTCCCAGCTTGCCCACTCCATCGTGCTCCTGCCCCCTCCCGAGGACCTTCCTCACATTACTATCTGAGTCCACGGGTTATGCATATAAATTCTCTGGTTAATCCGTCTTGTTCTGTCTTCTTAACACTCCTCCTTCACCACTCTCTCTTTGTTCTCATCTTACCACCGTGACAGTTCCTTCTCACCTATTTTGCTGGTTTCTCCCTAAATTCTTAATCCCTAGAGGGCTCCTGGTCTCAGTCCCCCGGGAGCATTGCTCTTTATCACCTGCACTCCCTCCCTCCCGCCCTCCTGTTCTCCAGCCCCTGGCTGTAAGACACTCCTAAGGCAAGCACTGCTGACTGGAGCTCTGAATCTTTTTTTGACTCATGGAGATCTGACTCATCATGTATCTCCCCATGGATGTCTCATGGGCCTCTCATGTTTAAAGTCCTGATTTCCTGGTTTCCCAGCAGAACCACGTGGGACCCACCTGTAAGGCAACACGCTAACCTATTGGTACAGGAGATTCTGGAGGGTGGAGAGAGAGAGCAATAAAAAAGTCCCTCTAGGGCCGACAAATGTTAAGCTGCCTAATGGATTATCATCTCATGACTCTGTGCTTTGGTTTCTTCATCTAAAAAATAGAAAGAATAACCAGATATACTTCATAGGATTGCTGTAAAAAATGATGCAATAACCCATGCAAAGTCCTTAGCAAAGGCACTTAGTAAATATCAAATAAATATTAGCTGCTGTTGGGGGTTAAAAACACACACATAAAAAGTGTGGAGAAAAAATCAAATAGCTTGATTTCCTCTCCTCTGTGGGTTTCTGCTTTTTTGGGAAATTACTTAATAATTCCTTTTTTTTTTTTTACCAATTTTTCAGTCCTGTAGTTATCTTTGATTCCTCTCCCTCAGACCTCTCATCCAAACCTCAATAAATCCTAGAGGTTCTACCTCCAAAGTATATCCAGAGCCTGACCATGTGTTACCCACTGGACTGCCACTGCCTGAGTCCAAGCCTCCAACAAGGTTAGAGCAGCGGCCTCCAAACAAGGAGGCCTGCTCTCCCTTTGTCCTCGCTATTGTCCATGCATGAACAGAAGTGACGTTATTGCTATTGGTTGCTTCAGGTAAAGTCACTCCCTCAATGACTCCTACTTCATTCACAGCCAAGCCAAAGCCCTCTGCACGGAGCCCATGGGCTTTTCTGACCTTTCCTATCACTCTCCCCTTGGACTCCCTGAGTCTAGCCCCACTGGCCTCCCTGCTGCCTTTTACACACACCAGGGTGCTCCTGCCTTACGGGCTTGTGCCAGTTTTTCCTTTTCCACCCAGATATTGAGGGGCTTGTCTTGCTCTTACTCCATTGATTCTCTGCTTACAACTCTGCTGATTTTCCTTCCTAGTACTGATTGCAAATTGACACCTACTTTCAACATGCATTAAATTGTCTGCTTCTTTCTCCACACCCATCTACTCCTACTGCACAGAATATAAGCTCCAGGAGAGCAGGAAATTGGTTGGATTTAGAGCAGTGCCTGGAACATAGTAGGTGCTCACCAAAATCAAATGAATGAATGAAATGAAATTTATTTCAATGAGCATTTATTCTCCTGGGCATCTCTAAAACATCTTATAAACATTTTATGAATCTCAAGAGATAATTTATTTTGACAACAAATAATTATCAGACTCTCAAAGAAAGAAATTCATATTATTAAAACTTACAATTATCCATCCAGAATATTATAGCTGGTGGTAAACCAATTGGAGGTCTGCAGGGAAGTACCAAAGACTGGCCACTTCGAAGTGTTATTGGTTCAAGTTTTTCTTTGGTCCACAACGGTGACCCTATGATAGGAAATAACTACTTGTAAGTTGTTTCTGCATTGAAAAAGAGCACTAGAAAGACAAACTAAACTTTTGGGGAAATTGTAACTCAGCATTTGTGTACATTAAGATAACAAGAAAATCAAATTTAAATACAGTGTTGAAAGTAAAAAGACAATTTTCATTCTCTGCCATTAATGATATAAATTCTGAGTTAAGTGATTCCAAGCCTAAGAACTTATATTAAATAAATCATCCGGAAGATACCCAATAATTTCATTACAAGCCTGCTCTTCACAAAAGAATGGAAAAACACTTAAACAGCCAAAGACCTGTAAAACAAATAACTTAACTATACACTTACACCTTTTAATATCATACAGTATTATATATTATGTAAGTATACTTATTGGTAAAACTGGTGTTTTTTATGAATATGAATATACATATAGTAGTTAAGTCAGGAAAAGTTATAAAATAGTACTTCAGAATGAGCTCATTTTAAACACATACAAACATGTCTAGAAAAAAAAGCAGTAATTATTTTCTTGAATGGAAGAATGCACGAGTAACTTTTAAATTTATTTGGAATTAATTTTTTATATAATGAACATACATTCCACATGTAATTTTAAAAAGCTTTTAAAATGACTATAACTGCCAATGGTCATTTTTCTTGAAATCTATGCTCTTGAGCTGTGGAGAGGATTGGGGTACAGAACACTGCCAAAACAGCCACGTGACAGCAAGGCAGTGAGGCCCCTCTTCTTCTGCCTGAATTCTGAAACAAGAATGTTTTAAATAAACCACACTTATGCCTCTTTACCCATTTCATACTGAATTTATTTACCTGGCTATAAGAAGTTTGTTCACACATAAAATACATAAGAAATCAATAATTTAGATCAATTCGGGGAAGAAACACTTTTCTTACCCCCGGTGTTTTATTCTGGGTTTGTAAAAGGACATACTGGACTGACAAAGAATTCGGCTGAGGAACTCAGTGTAAAGTGGCAATAATTTTCATGCAAAACAAAGTCAGATTATTGGAATCAAGGCTGTTATCTACTTGTAATAGTATTTGGATGACATAACAGAGACCAAGCCTCAGAGCCCTGCTTTACAAAGATCCACCTGTGGGTGGACAAGCCCCACTTACTGGATGGACGAACAACAATGTTATTAGAAATGGCAGCTCCGCGTTCGTTCCTGGCTGTGCACTGATAGACGCCTTCGTAGGTCTCTGCCTTCCCTTCGCTCAGAATGTTAATGACGAGGGTTCCTGAGCCAGCCTTCATGGTGACGAGAGGGTCTTTATCGATGTCAAAATGAGTCCCATTTCGGGTCCAGGAAAAGCTGCCCAAGACATAAAAACCGGTTCACGTGCTCTTTAACAAATTCCTAGTAGTTTACATGTTTTCAGGAGTTAATTATTATATTTTGATATTCCGTAAAAGAGCAATAGGCTTCACACCTAAAACGTTTCATTGAATCATGACTTACAAAAGCGTGCTGGCCACATATTTGAAGGCACATGTCTTTATTAGGACTATCTGACTCAATAAAGAAAGCATGCACGCAAATTGCCTGTCAGTTTTCAAAGAAATATAGAAAGGAGGCCTCCTAGGCACATTATCTTAGACTTGGCTTGCAGGCCATGGCACTGTCTCTCCCTCAGAGAAGCAGCGTCCCACCGAGCCCCAGCTGTATTCTCTTGTCTGTCTTCTTTAACCCTTCACCGCCCCTCCTCAGGCTCACTGAACCTGCCAGTGCTGGACACAGCACAAAATTGGAGTTACAACTAAAGTATAGAAAAATCACCCCCTGAATAACTGAAGACTAGCTGGAGAAAAGTCTTATAACCAAAGACTTATAGAGGAGGACACATCGAGACTGGTAGGAGGTGGTACGAGAGGGATGGCAGGGCACTCAGGCAGCAGCTGAAGTTCTAGAAGGATATCTCAGCTGTAGGAGGGTTCCCCCTGAGAAGTGTGGGGTCTAAAGCCCAACCCAGACTCTCCAGGCAAGAGCGCCAGAACTCGGAAAGAAGCCTACATAATACCTGGCTGGGAAAAGCAGGATGTTTCTGTGCCCAGGGAGAGATGGCTAGAAATGCAGGCACCCTCTTAAAGGCCAATGCACAAAATTTCATTTGTAGTCACTCACCCTTGGATCAAGTGGAGGCAGGGCAAAGTGGACTAGAGCTGTGTGAGGAGAGTCTGGGGTTGGTGGCAGTAGGAAGAGAGCTGAGAGGTCAGACACCAGGATCCCTGTGCTGAGTCATTCCCCTATCACTGCAGAAGCCATCTTTCTCAGCCAAAACATTCCCATCCATGCAGCATCAGCCTAGGGGGGAGCAATAGCTCCACCAATTGGAAGCACTCTCACACCACCCTGTGGAGCTTCTTACACCATACATAAGAATAAACTCAAAATGGATGAAAGACTTAAATGTTAGACTGGAAGCCATAAAAATTTTAGAAGAAAACATAGATAGTAAAAATCTCAAACAATCCTTATAGTATTATTTTTTTTCTTTATATATCTCTTTAGGCAAGGGAAACAAAATAAAAATAAATAAATAAATGGGACTACATCAAACTAAAACATTTTTTTTTGTTACAGCAAAAGGAAACCATCAACAAAATTAAAAGACAATCCATTGAATGGGAGAACATATTTGCTGATATATTTGATAAGAGGTTAATATCCAAAATTTATAAAGAACTCATACAACTCAACACACACACACACACACCCCAAACAATCCAATTAAAAAATGGGCAAAGAACTCGAATAGACACTTCTCCAAAGAGAACATACAGATAGCCAATAGACATATGAAAAGATGTTCAGTCATTGATCATCAGAGAGATGTAAATTAAAACAACAGTGAGGTATCACCTCACACCCATCAAAATGGCTACCATCAACAAATCAACAAGTGACAAGTGTTGGTGAGGTAGAGAAAATTGAACCCTTGTGCACTGCTGGTGGGAATGCAGATTGGTACAGCCATTGTGGAAAGCAGTATGGAGTTAACTCAAAAAATAAAAAATGAAACTGCCTTTGACTTAGTAATTTGATTTCTTGGAATTTATCTAAAAAAGAAAACAAACAACAACCCCAAAACACTAATTCAAAAGAATATGTGCACTCCTATGCTCACTGCAATGCTATTTACAACAGCCAAGATTTGGAAGCAGCCTAAGTGTCCATCAGTAATGATTGGATAAAACAGCTTTTTACATTGACTCAATGGAATTCTACTCGGCTGTAAAATGGAAGAAAAATTTATCCTTTGTGACAATATGGATTGACTTGGAAAACATGCTAAGTGAAATAAGCCAATTAGAGAAAGACAAATACCATATGATTTCACTCATGTGGAATTTAATGAATAAACTGAACTAACAAGCAAAATAGAAACAGACTCAGAGAGAGCAGGCAGACAGTTCTGGTGAGGGGAGGGTTCAGAGGTGGTAGTGAAGGAATTGAGCAAATAATAAAAAGAAAGAAAACTCTTGGACATAGACAACAGTGTGGTGATTGTGGCAGTGGGAGGTGGAATAAGGCACGGGGGGGGGGGATAAATGGTGATGAAAAGATAAAATAAATAAAATAAATAAAAAAGAAGTTTTTAAAAAATTGCAAATCATGTATCTAATACAGGACTTGTATCTTGAATATAGAAAGAACTCTTACAACCCAATAATTAGAAGACAAATAACTCGATTAATAAGTGAACAAATTATTTAAATAGATATTTTAGTAAGAAAAAATATAGAAGTATTTAATAAGCATTTGAAAAGGTGTTTCATGTCATTACTCATTAAAGAAATGCAAATTAACATCTTTTCACACTCACTAGAATAGCTAAAATCAAGACAGACAAAAATAAGTGTTGGAAAGGATGGAGAGAAATAGGAACATTTATACATTGCTGATAGGGAAGTAGAATGGGAGAGCCACTTTGAAAAAATGGTTTGGTACTTTCTTAAAAAGTTATACATATACTTATCATACAACCCAGCAATTCCACTCTGAAGTATCTACCTATGAGAAATAAAACAAATGCCTACACAAAGACTTGCACAGAATGTTCACTGCAGTATTATTCATAATAGCCAAACATTATGCCAACTGAAAAATGCCAAATGTACATAAGAGTACATGTTATATTCAATTTAGATGAAATCTGAGGCAGAAATTAGATTAGTGCCTGAGGCTCAGGGTAGCAGGGAGATTTCTGCAAAAGAGCATAAGGGAACTTTGGGAACAATGGAAAAGTTCTAAAACTGAGCAGTGATTATTGCAAAACAGCCAATTGGTTAAAAATAACCAAACACTTACAATGGGTAAATTTCATGGTATATAATTAAAGGATTTTTTTTGTTGTTAAAGAAAAAATTTAGAAATTTTCATTTTTTATTACTTAATATTCCACATTACATTTTCATAATAATAACCTAACTCTCCCAAGTTCCTACATATTACTGGACAAGTTAGCGATCATCCACTAATTAACCATGGGATCATGGGTAAGTTATCTAGAATTACTAGGCATCAGTTTCCCATCTATAAAATATATTCATTGGGCCAGATAATCTCTAGCATCTCTCCCAACTCTAAAACGCCATGGGACTGGTTTGGCTCAGTGGATAGAGCGTCGGCCTGCGGACTGAAGGGTCCAGGGTTCGATTCCGGTCAAGGGCATGTACCTTGGTTGCGGGCACATCCCCAGTGGGGGTGTGCAGGGGGCAGCTGGTCGATGTTTCTCTCTCATCGACATTTCTAACTCTCTGTCCCTTTCAATTCCTTTCTGTGTAAAATCAATAAAATATATTTAATAAATAAATAAATGAATAAATGAATAAATAAATAAATAAATAAATAAATAAATAAATAAATAAAACGCCATGCAGTGCTCATTGCAAGATCCATTTGGAAAATCCTGAGTTATTGAACCCAGCCAAATTAGTAAACCTACTTATAGCTATTTTATAGACCTCTCTACAGATAGGAAGGATCTGATAAATCATCAAATTCAAGTTCTTCATTTTACTAATAAGGATATGGAGGCCCAGGGAAGAGGGGTTTGCCTATGTCATAAGGCCATTAGAACCACTAGAATGCCCTTTCCACATCTCCCCAACATTTCTGAGCAGCTTACAGAAGGGCATGAATACAGGAATGCTATCTGGGTTTCCAAAAAAAGAACAGACTGTAAGTAGACAAAACAGTGAACCTACAAATGATACCTGAAAGCTGTGCAGGCCCTGAAATGAAGCTCAGCGTTAACATAGTGCTTACTCTCAGTACTATGACAAAGCGGGAAGCACACCCACCTGGGAGGAGGTTTCCCTTTGGCCTCACACTGGATCACAATGTTCTCTCGAGGGTCAATAATGTAATCTTTTGGAGACTGTTGAGTGATGGTTGGAGGTTGTACCACTTAATTGTAGAAAGAAGAACAATGTAAAGAAATAAGCCATTTAATATCATAACAGCCATCATTTTTTTCTATATCAAATCACTTACCCCAGACTAAAAATGCTCCAAATGCGTTTAGTAATGTCTATGGTGGCAGCACATGCCCCAGTTGATGCTAACCAGCAGTCTCCTAAAACTCTGAAGTCAAGGAATAACTTCCTTTGGTAACCCATATGCACTCACAAAGCCCATTCCCCCCGCTAAAAGATTGGGAAAATAATTACCAATACAAGTTTAATATTAGAACCGTTTCTTTTCTGATGTAACAATGAGAAATTGCTCTGATTCTGTTGGTTCAAACAGGCCTTTCAATGAAATTTAAGTGATGTCACAAATTTATATTTCTGAGAAAAGAGTAATTGTTATATTCATTAGTGAGCTAACATATGTTAATACATAAGAGTGGGGCAAAAGTAGGTCTACAGTTGATGATATGGAATATAATACAATCCTATATAATAAAGAGGTAATAAGCAAATTGACTGTCACTCCAACACAGAATATGTCTGCCCCCATATGGACACAAGATGGCCACCAAAGATGGCCAGCAGGGGAGGGCAGTTGTGGGCGATCAGGCCAACAGGGGAGGACAGTTGGGAGGGACCAGGCCTGCAAGGGAGGGCAGTTAGGGGTAACTTGGCTGGCAGAGGAGGAAAATTAGGGGCAATTGGGCCAGCAGCGGAGCAGTTAAGCATCAATCAGGCTGGCAGAGAGTGGTTAGGGGGTGATCAGGCTGACAGGCAGAAATGGTTAGGGGCAATCAGGAAGGCAGGCAGGCAAGCAGTTGGGAGCCAGCAGTCCTGGATTGTGAGAGGGATGTGACTGCCTGTTTAGGCTCAATCCCTCAAGGGGTCCCAGATTGGAGAGAGTTCAGGCTGGGCTGAGGGACACCAGCCCCACCTCTGTGCATGAATTTCATGCACTGGGCCTCTAGTAGTTAATAAATAATAATACAAGGATAAACTTTGTGTTTTGCATACAAACACAAAGTTTATTCCTGTATTATTATTTATTAACTATTGTATTATATTCCATATAAACATCTGTAGACCTATTTTTGCCCCACCTTGTATGTTGGGAACAAATAAATTTGAGAACTTAATGTTTAAAAGATGGTTAAGTTAGTGGCTGGATATGTCTTTATTAGAACCAGGATGTAGGTGACTAGTAAGAACAAAGGTAAAAGTCTTATTTGGAAGATAAATAGATTTGGGAAGTTCTCTGTTACAGGAGATAATATTTTCATCCCACTCTTCAAAGTGTTATGTGATTATTTATTATCAAATCATAGGGTGAAACCGTTATTGACCCAGGACAACTTAATCTGAAGAAAGCTGGTTTCTGGCCATCCAACACTCAATTCCCTCTAAAATTACCATGTTCTTTTTGTGAAATCAGAATCAGGAGTGTTAGAACAGGGGAGGACTAGAGAAATGATCGATTTCAGCTTATTTTTTTTGCTTAGGCAGCAACTAGGCTTGGCTAGGAAGGCTCACAGCAGAGAAAATAGCCAAACTCTCCTGGTGAAAACAACTGACTTGCATGCCTCCTGCAAGAGCCATTCATATAGACCAGAGTCCCTCAACCAGGGCACTTTGCCCCCACCCCGGGAGTGGGGGGGGCGGGATTTGGGCCATATCTAGAGATGATTTTGATTGTCATCTCTGAGACCAGGGGTGGTCCTGGAATCTATTATTGCAGAGGCCAGGGGTGCTGCTGAACATTTTACAATATATAATGCCCCCCTCTGGAACAAAGAGTTATCTCAGTCATTGAAGTTTTTCATATTCTAGATCTCCGCTTTCCTTTGCCCATACTCTGTGCTTTCTTTGGGAAATTTCTTCCACTGCCAACCAAGTGTTTCCCTAAGTTTAATGACTGCGCTCTGCTCTTGTCTTTCTTTACTGTGGCTGGGGGGCTAAGTTTATCATTTCCATATACAATGTCTTATAAACCTGCAAATATGGGTCTCTTCTCTTCTTGGTCACCAGCCTTGTGCTGTCCACCAGCCATCTTTTACTAAGTATCCAAATGACACCTAAAAACAGGTCAAAAGATGAACCCATCACTGTAATTTTTTTTTATTGTGCACCTAGTAAATGCAGGATACTGGACGGTGTCAATTCCTCCTCCCTCTAGCAAGATCTGCCCCCCTCCTTGGCCTCCGGTAAACCAGCTGCTCTTCCTAGTCTTCACCACAACACAGAAACCTTGTTCTTCAACCTGTCGGTTCCCGATGTTGGCTAGCAGTTTGGTCTGGTGGCTAAGAACTAGTCTGTTTCTTTCTTACCAGTTTTGAGACCTCAAGCAAAATTTTTTAACTTCTATAAGACCTAGTTTCCTTAGAGAAAAAATGGGGTTTGCAAGTAGTATCTAACGCCTAGAGTCACTAGAGGACTAAATAAAACGATCTGTGTAACATTATTAGTACGTGCCAATACTATAATGGTTCAGTAATGTTCACTATGTTTACCTTATTATCACGATCATTTTTATTTGTACCAGCTTTGTCTTTGAGTGATCCTGTATGCTCTGGGAGTATAGAGTTTGGGATGATGGAAAGAAACCTGGAATTTCACACCCAGGGAATGGTGGGCATAGGTGGTAGGTGAGGGAATTCTCAGGAGTGACTCAGCCCAATTCCTCGTGCTTTTCTGCAAGGGACAGAGGTGGAAGACTGGTAGTTTCAGACTCATAACTTCTATTCATGTGTTTGCAAGAGAACTGGCTTAGATGTCCCTCATAACTGCCAGGCGTTTACTGTCGAAACTTACCTCTATGAACAGTGCTTAGATTACCTAGCTACTAACAAATGCTTTGAAGTAATATGGAAAAAAAGGTGGTTTCACATAATTTTCCTGGTTAATCCTACATCAAAGGGTTTTTCATTTGCCGGAAAACCCTTTTATTTTAGGTCGATTGATAGAGGCTGTTCGACTGATGCCGAGGGGCAGCAGAAGTTTTTGCTTAGAAAACGCTGAGAGGGAGGCTGTTGATCGCCTCTTGCACACTTCAAAACAATATTCAGATTCTCCAGGCCATTATACCAATGGCACTTAAAAACACCTGACTACACAGTCCACAAGCTGAAGAAGGATAAGAGGGTATGTAGATGCCAATTGGAGGAAGTGTCTGCATGCACCCAATTTCTAAAAGGTACCAAAAAACATGTCTGTATTCCAGCAAGCATTTAATAGCATTTAGAACCAGTCATTCTCTTTAAATTTAGTGAATTTTCTCATTGAGTTACATCAGAAGTGAAAACAAGCACAGACGTTAGTAGAACAGAGTATTGGTAAATGGAAAATAGTAATACCCGAGTCTTCAGAATTCATGCAGGGAGTATATCAAACTTGCTTCTTGGTATTTTTAACGTTTAGCCACAATAAATACACATGCTTAAAACACGTTAGTCACACAAAAAATAAAAATTTGCAATTAATTCACGCTATTCATTCAAAAACAAAGACATGGCCAAATTTTCGCATTGCCTAGGAATTGCCAAAAGACACTTACAGTCTTCAAGAAGTTTTGCTTTTTCCCCCATCAATGTCAGCAGGTGAGTGGGCAAACAGGATTAAAGAAAACCAGATGTTAGTAATGAGAACGTTAGGACCCTGAAGATAAAAGGAGCATCTTGATATGATTTGACCTAAAAAATAAAACTAGTACAGCAAAGCTTGAAGTGGTAAAGTGGAAGGAGAAAGAAACTCCCATTCATGGGTTTGTTTATTCCTATAGCAGTTATCCCATGTAACACATGGAAGAACAAAAATAAATAAATAAACTCTTCTAGGAATAAGAATGGCTATTTCCATTCCACCCATGTAGTAGTAGACAAGTAATTACGTTCAATTTGGAAAACAGCTGAAATCTACAATTAATCTGAGTTGTCACACACTGTGTAGTGTCTGATCCCATTATCCCAGACATCACTACGCACATGATAATAACACTTAACAATGGGAACATGGCTGCAATGACAAAGTTCCATCCAAGTCAAATCCAACATTGATCTTATGTTAATACCCATATCCGTAATAAACTTTTCATATTGTTAGCATATTTTTGCCTTCAGAATTCCTCAATCAGCCAGGGATTGTCAGTAGCCACAGCAAGGAGCATCTCTTGTAGAAAGGATGTAAGGAACAGGGGCAGGGAAGAAATCACATGAATATGCAATTCAAAGGATTCTGCAGGGCTGCCTGGCACTAGTTCTTGCAAAGGTTAATGCAGGAGGCCCTGGTTGTCATGACTTTCTTTTCATCATGGTTATGCCTCTTCTCCATCAGCAGCAATAATGGAGTTAGCCGTAGGTGACTATTTCCTCCTGATTGTTCGATTGAGCAGTCAGATTAAGGGAGAATAAAACATTTCTCTCATTTCTCTCCAGTGCTTTTATCTCTCTCCTACATACCTCTTAGGGCAAATGCTTACTTAAGCATTCCAACTCCAGTGAGTGTAAGTGATCTTTTTTTTTTTTTTTTAATTGAAATTAAGGTCATTGAAAGAATATGTTTTGAAAATAAGCACAATATTGCTTTTTTTTTTTTTTTTTTTTTTTTTTTTTTGTACTTTAGACTATAGAGGCACAGCAAAGGAATTCAACAAAGTGTGGGGCAAACCACATCTCTTCTTAGTGTCTTTCCACTGGCAGTTGCAACCTCTTTGGCGAAAAATGACATCCCAACAATCGAATAGCCCCGGGAAAGTACTGTCTTCCTTGCACCTTGGAAAGCTTGCCAAACAGATGTTCTATTCAGGAAGCTAATGGATTTAAAGAAGTCATGCAGATTGGGGAAAAGGAATAAATCAATTCTGAAGTTTAGCAATTGTTCAGATTTGAAATTCTGCTTTACAGTGCAGGAAAAGTGACCAGTTGAAACCAAGCGTTATCTTCATTTTTTCATAAATAGGCCACACAGACCAGGGAGAGTCCAGCATATACTTAATTACTAGGAAAAGAGTAGGCTAATACAGTAGCTGTTCTTGCTCTATGTTAGACAGTGTTTTTGCAGATGACTTGTTGTATTTTCAAAATTTACATCTTGAACCTGGCAGTGAGGCTCAGTGGTTGAGCGGCAACCTATGAACCAGGAAGTCATGGTTCAATTCCTGGTCAGGGCACATGATGCAGTTCTGGGCTTGATCCCCAGTAGGGGGCATGTACGAGGCAGCCAATGATGTTTCTCGATCATCATTGATGTTTCTCTCTCTCTCTCTCTCTCTCTCTCTCTCTCTCTCTCTCTCTCTCTCTCTCTCTCTCTTCCTCCCTCCCTCCCTCCCTCCCTCCCTCCCTCCCTCCCTCCCTCCCTCCCTTCCTCTCTGAAGTCAGTGAAATAGATATAAAAAGAAAAATTACATCTTGATGTTTATGCTTTTTACACAAAGGCTTTAGATAAGATGCACTTCCTATATTTAGATAAATATTTAAGATTCAACAATCAAAGGTGCATTTTTTATTGTCTGAAGAGAAATGAATTATGCACAGTACAGGGATGAGGAAGTGGTGTGGGGTTGGCCGAGAGCCTATCCCCCCCCCCACCATCTTTTCCAGAGCACTCAGTATATGAGCCGGTGGAGAAGTAGGGAGGGTGAAAGTGGGGAGGAGGTCTCCACGATCATTTTAAAGTAATTCATGTAGTTTTCTTGCAGAACTCTTTCTATAAAGAGTCCCCTGCTGGGAGGATCCGGGCACCCCACAATTCACTCCTGCTCAGGCCAGCGCTGCCCCCTGGTACACAAAAGGCACCTGGGGGCGCAGAAAGATAATCATAGGGAGGGTGCAATGTGTCTGATCCTTTCAATGGCCATTTCTCTGGTGCCATTCTTTATAAACACCAGGTGCTGAAGGTAAAAGCCAAATTAATTTTGATTAGCTTTTCAGTATCACACAGACACCTTCTCCGTTCACACAGTTCAGAGTCACGGAAAATGCTGGGGAGGTTTTGACTCCTGGGCCTAACAGCTTTAAAAACGTTAATACTTACAATCAAGAGGCACATCCAGGGCACTAATCATCTGGCACAGGAAGAGAATCAGGGGCACTCTGCCTGCGGATAAGCGCTTCTTTTTCGGCATTATTTTCAGCTGCATTAGCTTGACTCCTGCTGTGACCCACAAGCTGAATTTCCTTTTCTTCTTTCACAAAAGACTTGTGTGCAGTGTCTAAATAATTTTCATGCAGGAAACTGAAAAAGTACAGAATAAAAATGATAGTGTATCAAATAGGAGGAAATGAAGAGCGGAAACCGGTAGCAAAGAAAATCAGTCCTGGATTATACATGAACTCTAAAAGCGAGCTAATTTTTAAATATTTAACTCCCGGGGCTAGAATAATCATTTATTCATAAACCAGCTGAAATCGGGTCAGAAATATTGATAGGGATGCTAAGCAAAAATCTGTCTACCCTGCCATCTTTATGATTTTTTCATTTTATTTTTTACTTAATTTTTAAAATATTTTTTTATTGTTGTAGTATTACAGCTATGTCCCATTCCCGCCCCACTTTACCTCCCTCTTCTCAGCCCCCTCTGCACCCCCAGGTCTTCACTACCCTATTGCCCCTGTGCACGGGTCATGCACATAAATATATAGTAAGTTCCTTGGTTTATCTCTTCTGGTGCCCCCAAACCCACGTTGAGATATGTCAGTCTGTTCCATGTCTCCGTGCTTCACGTTTTTTGGTCAATTCATTTCCATTTTAAATATCTGCATGCCTCTCAGAGCCTGCCATGCCTTCCCACAGACTTGACTGGTAAGTCAGTTAGAACGTGTGACATTAGAGGGGAGGCCTATTGGCTTCTCCATTCTAGAGATTGTTTCTGGGAAACTCCAGGGCACGGCTGCAAATTTGCTTTGAACCCCACCCTTACTCACCAGCTGAACTACCGACAATTCAGGCTTTCCCATCTCTCACTTAGACAGGGCAGCAGAGAGGCCTGGGCCCTGCATTTCAGGCCTTCCGTACTGAAGTCACCCTCCCGAGCACTGTTAATTCTTCCTAAAGGGTCTTCAGTGGTTAAGTACTGGGAGTAGCCTTATGGGATCTACCAAATAGAGTTTAATATGTCCTAAAACAGGTAGTTAAAAAACAAACAAACAACCCTCAGTAATTTGCTACATTTTAATCCTACTAACCTTATCGGTTCCTATTTCCACATAACATTTTTGTTTTGTTTGTTGGATGGTCTGTTTCTGTTTTTCTTTCTTATGTCAATACCTTGAGTTTTCCCACCTTTTTGCCTTATCTGTTCTAGTCCTCCATGGAATGCCCATTCCACCACATTTCCTTATCAAAGTCCACTGAACTTCTGTATAGATCAGTTAAAATGGAACCTTAAGTGATCACTAAATCTAGGAAGTTATCCCCCCCCCCCCAAAAAAATCCTGAAATACCTTATTTTAATCATCATATTAGATTGATAGAGAATCAGATAGATTTTGCTTTTTGTATTCATGCTCTCTAGCATACTCCTTCAGGCCTCTCCCTTCATGTCATCTAGTGTGCCTTGCACATTAAATGTTTACTGTCCACAGGAGAACATGAGCACCAACACAGAATATAGACATATTTTTCTAGCAACTGAGTTCTGATATGAATCTAATTACTATTATAACTGGACACTTCTTGCTAAATAAATAAATAAATAATAAATAAATAAATGGATTTACTGTGCTAAATATATTGTACATATATAAATATCTTGTGAATGAAACATCCATATTGTGTAGTTTCATTTAAGAAATAGGAAACTGGCTTTCCATAATATAATATATAAACAATCAGGCCTATTAAGCATTGAGAGGCAGGTATAGAAGCTCGCACAACCATTTTTAACCCAAATACAGACCAGACTGCCTTTATGTGTGTGCAAAACATATCTACATCATTTAGCCAAGTTTACTTATGTCTCTTCTGATCTTCTGTTAGATTGCTAATTTTGCATTTGCTCATTATCTTCAGGGAAAATAAAAATACCTAGCACGAATGGCACTAAAACAAGTTGAAGTACACACTACACATATTCAGAGATAACCACAGAATCACTGAGAAAACAAATGGCATCCCTGCCTGATTTTTGTGTCAAAGTAATTGAGTTTATTGACTTAAGTGCCTCGCTCTCTGAATAGGTGCTGACGAACTGAAACACTTCCTCAAAGGCATACTAATATGTTATAATGTTCATAAGATCTTAAGCAACCACATACACTTTCTGTTCTAAGTTCTTCATTTATTATTTATTTTTCCTGGATGCCTTAACTAGTCATCCTTCAAAATCAAGAAAACCAGTAGACAATTTCAAATAAAAGAAAGTATCATTTAATCTGCTTTACCTCTTAAGAATATATATAATATCGCATTTTAAATCACAGTGTTGCAAAAAGAAAAACATTAAAAAAAATTGAGAAAGCACTTACTTAAAGAGACATGAGTAAATCCTCACAATGAGAGAGGCATGAACTATGATCATTGAAAATGTGATCCCTCTTCCAAGAAGTTGTAAGTTGACTGCACCAGTAGCCACAAAATTGTGTGCAGAATAGGTTCTGTTTGAGGAGGACAAAACAATAGCCCAGCCCATCCTCTGAAGCCTGCCCCTGGAAATTCACTCTCTCCTCCTCCGTGTGCCGTCAGAGGTGAAAAACCCAGTGCCCGGGGACAGCATTAAGCTCCCAGCGCTCAGTCAAAGTGAAAATCAAATTCAGCTACCAGAAATGACGCTTACTCTCCGTAAGAGTGATGTGCTCTGCACCTCTCACAAAGAAACACCACTGCTTCTGCACTCAGTATTGATGTCAACGCCCTGCCCTGCCAGGAGCCCATCTGCCTTGTAGTTTACCTTGAAAAATGATGGTCATTCTCTCGTACACGAGAACCATGAACGGAAACTAAATTGTTCACGCAGTGACATTCAAATAAATAAAACCCCAATGTGAAATAGCAAGTCATGTGTAGTCAAGGCTAAAGAGTATGTGAGCACAATATAGCTTGTAAATTGAAGAAAAAAAATAGTTGCTACAGACATTGTAAAACATGCTGGAATGAAACAAATGGTAGGTTCATCTTTGGGATATAAATCATCCTGATATTTGAAAACACATATATTGTTAAAAATGAACCAGACTAATGATAAACAATAAAGCCTTTTAACATTTCATGTAATGCCATTCAAAGTAACTTTTCACACCTTAACTCCAGAACCCCTTAACCTCCCTTCTTCAGTAAATTTTTCATCACTAGAAAAGAAATGCAATTCAAGGTTCCATTACTTCTTTTAGCTCAAAATTCATATTAAATCATAGAGCCAATATTCCCCTGCATTATTTACATGTATATTTTTAAAAACCTCATTGTTATTAAGCCCAAGAAACAGCTCTTGTGTTGTTTACTTAAAACGTCTTGTCATTAGAAAGAAAAGAAAATATTTTTCTTTCAAGTGAAAGATAAAATTAGCTTAATTAAAAAACTGAGAGGGCAAGCATTACTTACCTTTTCATTCTAATCTGTGCTTTTGAGCATCCTAGCATGGGTGGTTTGATGCTGGCTGTACAATGTAAGATGACCCACTCTCTGAGCCAATAAACTTGTGCCTGGCTGCTCCTTGGCACACTAATTATCGCTCTCCTGACTCATCAGTGGCTGGCCTCACTGACTGGATAGCTAACTGCGTGGGACATTCTCTTGGCTGTGAAAGGCATTTTTCAGCAGTGAACCGGAGGATGGTTACTCTTTATATTTTGTTGTGTGCTTACCACAAAGAATAAGCACATCAATGCCCATTTCTAGCCCATACCTGTGCTTTTCAATCACGGATTTTTGAGTCTGAGACTATGGAAGGAAGGATAGAGAAAATGGACAATGACTCCACATAATTAACACATCAACAAAGTCACCCTTAAATCTATGCAACACCACCACGATGAGTGTGCCCCAGAAAACAGTAGTTTGAGAAGTGACCACGGAGATGGTCAAGGCAAACTTTATGAAGTACCAAGAAACAGGTTTCTAATTTCCTCCTGCCCCATAGTAGAGTTCCCACAAAGAATCTGGTAGCTAGAACCTGGAATAGTACTGAAGGAAAGGTGAGCAATTAACAGATCTTTTATTTTTACCCAAATAACAGATAATGGACTACAATTTAAAAATAGCTCAAATCTCCACTCCTCAGAGCATTATAACTTATTTGCTATTCAGAAAATCCCCAGAAAATAGAAAAGCAGGTATAATATGCACTTAATAGATGAGGAGAAAAAAACAATCACAGTAGACTGCTATTATTCACCGAGAACCTTCCATGTGCCAGGAGTCACACTGAGTCTGCTCCCTGCTTTAATTTACCTCCTCTTGTCAATAATCCCCAAAGGTAAGTTCTATTACATGCTCCAAATCCCTCATACAGAACCCAAGATGCAAGATGGTAAAGTCATGTGCCTAAGGACACAGTAGGGGAAACTCCAGACTTAGGGCTCCAGATCTGAAAAGTTCTGGAGTTTTCAGTTATCTCACATTGTCACATTCTACAAGCCCATAGCATTTCCCTCCCTCTCATATCCTCTTATTTTACATTTAGTCACTTGCAAACAGAATGACCAAGTTTAGGCACCGGTATTTAAAAATAAAAAAAGCATGAATGGTTTCTGAATATCAACATATCTTCACAGTGTTGCCAATAGCACAACTTCAGTGACCTCTTCATGCTGGAGTCTATGAGAATGGTGCCAGCTGGGATGGTACCACCAGCTTGTCCTGGACTTTTAAAGCAACCACAAGTCAGGACAATGTAGGCAAGATGCACTTTAAAAGTTCACTTAAAAGTAGGCACTATATGTACACAATACAACATTCATAAGGTACAAAAGACCATATCATTCAAAGTAAGCAAGCCAGAAACCAAGTTTCTCCCCTTGTGTTACTATTACCAAGTTTTGTAAATCCTTCTAGAGATATTTGATGCATAAAGAAGGATAAAAATATATATAACAATGTTTTAAGGACCTGTTGGATTTCAAAAAAAAATTAAAGCCTTTTTTGGCTGGTGTTAAACAATAAAAAATACCAGTGTCTTTCAATGGAATCTAATTATCTGCCACA